TATGATATGGGGACTTGTTTTTTTTTTAAATGTTTCTCATGTTTTACAAAAGAATTGGACCATGTGGATTCGAAATAAATAGCCACAACTGCAATTCATAGATGGTTTTGAAAAATAGAGTGAGCCAGGGCACCCTAGAGCTGCCGTTGACAATCCCGAGGCTGAAGAGCTTAGGGAAGGGGTGGTTTTCCTGTATTGGGACATGTGGCTGGAAAACAGGGAACAGAAGTGCTTGTGGAAGGCTTTGGAGTGACGTGTGTGAGGGGACGCTGGAATGTGATGGGCCAGCACTGCCCCCCGGGCATAGTGCAACAGATGACATACAGGCTGTCACACCATGCTTCCCCGTGGGCCAGATCCACGTGGGCCACTCCACGTCTTTGTAGAGAAGAATTAGGTTCTAGTTATGGGTGAGGTCTTCACTGTCCTCAAACCCTGCTCTCAACTTCCACAAGTCTTGGGCTGATAGGGAGTCAGGGTCGTGGCTAGATGTATTAACTGTTGAAGGGACCAGGCTAAGGTGTTTTCACAGGAGTTTGGATTCTCCTTGTATTGCCCTGTTGTGTTGCCTCCTCACTGGCTTAGAGCACGAGTTGATAGTGCCCACTTGTGCTGCTTCTGGATTCCTTACACAAGCCCACCATAGCCTCTTCCCACCCAGTATGCTATAGAGGTGTTACTCATTCCCCCCTCTAATAATGGAATTACATCTCTTCTATAGAGAGGACCGTTAGGGGAAGTCCTAAATGCTTTATTATGTGAATAACCTCTCCAGGATTGAACATTCCATTATTAAGGTCAATGGCAAGGAGCTGCAGCTTTGCTGATAAAAATCACTAACTCCTTTCAGGCACCATGCTGAGCCCTGTTTCTCTTCATCTTATACCTTTCACATTTACCCTCATTTCACATGTTGGAAAAGTGAGGCTCAACTTTTCTCTTGCACATTATCCCTTTCTTTTTAGAATACTCTGGTCATACACTGAGCTCTATCTCATTTGAGTTATGAGAATTTAATTCTGGGCAGGATTTTATTTATATTTCAGCTTATGAAGCATTTCTACATGTTTCCAGGGACTGTTTTGGATTTTGTGTGTCACTTGAGCAGCTTGAGCCTGGTGAAAAGAGAGTTGGTGTGTGGTCATTCTTACAACGTCAAGCTGTGTTTGCCTCAGAGAAACCTTGGATTGCTAAGTTTTGGTGGCAATAACTTCTATATACTATGTTCCTTTTGTCTTCATCTTCTTCTTTTTTGGATTACAGGTTTAATTATATAAACCTTGAGTATCAGAGGCCAAAAAACAAACCAAACCAAGGCTCAGAGAGGTTAAGTAACTTGCTGAATATCGCACAGCCAGAGATTTCAAACTCACATTAGGCTCTTCAACCATTTGCTTAATTGCCATTATTTGTATCAGATATACTTGAATCAGAGGTATTATGAGATTCAAGCCATATGTGGTTAAAACGTCAAGGTTCCAAGGAAGCTGTTGTTTCTTTATACCATGGTTAAGGGGTGAAATATGATCTCAAAGACATTGAAGATGGAGAGGAAGCTATAAACATTATCAACCACAAGGACAGAATTTGTATTTAAAAATATGCCTTCAAGTCAGGTGATGCGTATGCTGACTACTCGGGGCACATATCAAGTAGCATAAATTTTTGTACTTCTACCCCTCCTCTTTCGTTAAAACAAAAAAAAAAAAGGGAATCACAGTTGAAGACAGTTTGCATAGACTGGTCAGGTGGTAATTGTTTACAGAGATGTCATGCTCATTCTTCCTTGCTGGCTTATTTCTAAGATTCACTTCTTGTGTTCTGATCGATCATATTGACAAACAGGAAAAAAGACACACACACCAGTGTTACAAAACCTTGTATTAATCATTTCCCTTCACTTTCAATATAACGTTGATATGAAATATAGCCATGATTCTTAGTTACATGGGAGGAAATGAGTAATAAATACATTGTAGCAAGTTTAAACCACAAGGGTGTTTCACTGGTAACAACATTTGAAAACTGTACACTTGCAAAGAACAGCATCTTCAAACATTAGTATATCTGTATATCAGTAAAGCTTTACATGTAACAAACATGCTATTTCCATATATGACAAATTTAAAAAATATGCATTGCTTGGCAACATGAACTAGGCAAAAATAGTTCTTTGTTCACTAACTTTATACAGGAAAACAGGACGAGAGGCATGCATGTACAATAGGGATGCCTGCATGGGGCATGCAACAAAAGAAAGCTTTTTAAAAGTCAGCTTACATTAGGCATAAATACATGAGGGTTATATATTAATAAGGGAGGAAGTCTTCTGTTTGACATTATTAACATTCCTGTTTTCTTCCTATTCCTCCCAGAGGAATACACATTCACCTTTAAGTAAAGATAAAGGAATTACAAAAAAATAAAACTCACTTTGCAAACATCTCTGATGACTTGTAAAAAAAAAAAAAATCAACATTAGTGTTATCACAGCCCCATGTGCAAATGATCCTTCCGCAGGTCCTTCTTGTAACAGGCATGCCCGAATGCCTTGGTCAGGCTGCTTCCCTGTACCCAAGCCAGAGCCGCCTGCTGCAGACCTCTCCAGAGGGCCAACGAGACTGGGACCTGCTTTTCCGCCCCTCGCTGCCCTTCTGGTTGCATGTCTATGCATTCAGCCCAGCTCGGTCCCCCAGCCCAGGCTTTTGGGGGACTCCCGGTGCTAACTGGGGAATGCACATCTACAAACCTTGCACTGGCAGTCGCTACAAGAGGTGCAGAAGAACACAGGACCCGGAGAAGGCTCCCATTCCGTAAAAGGCAGCCAGTGACACCTCAAAAGAAAACCTTGTTTCCCTCAGTGTCTCTTCAAAGGAATGGGAGATGGGGGCCCAGCGGTAGTTCCAATCCTGAGTACCAGAAAGGGACCATCAATACACAGGATTTGAGAGCTTGGTGCCAACAGCCGCCCTCTGCAGGCAGACCCAGCAGTGTCTATTTTGCTTGCTGGCCCTTGTTCAAAAAGTGAAACTCAAAAAGCGTGTGGAAAAAGACACAAATCAGCAGCAATGTTTCAATTCTTGTACACAGTTCATGTGTGTCTTCCTACTGTTTCTGGTAAGAAACCACTATGAATAAAAAGCACCAATAAAACATCATACCTGGTAACAGTATCATAGACCACCACTGTCCCTAGGACAGTGTAGAGGTGCCAAATACATACTGCTTAAATCAGAAAAAGGGGGGGAAACATGTAGTGAAATAGATTTTCCTCTAAGATTTTTTACCATTTACTATTAATATAAAACAGTTGCATTTGGGGGGGTCAATGGGTAAATACAAAAAAAGGCACTGCCGCTTTATTACTAAATATCCGACTTCACAGCCTTACGCATGCAACTGTTTGATTTTTTTTTTTTTTTTATAAATAAAGTTCTTTTGCTTAAGGATTTTAAAATTGAGCTGTATACCTGCAGTCAACACAGGACTCAAAACAAGGTGGGGACAGGCTCCTAAAATTTATCAGAACACTCAACTTAAAAAAAAGAAAAATTGAAACACTAATAGCAAAACACAACTAAGTAGATAAATCTATACACAGTCAATGAAAAATAAGCTTTTCTTTTTTTTTTTTTAAAAAAAGAATTATGTTGTTTTTAATAACAGACTTTATCATGGTTACCAGCCATAGCAAGTTAATAAGTAACATATCCAAAATAATATCTCTAATAATCAGATAACCATTGTTTCTATATTCAGTGAAGGAATAAATAGAAATCCAGATTTGCAAATACTTTAAGGTCTTCTTCCTTTTAAAGGATTCATGCTAATGTGATTGTGTTCACAATCTGTTTTCTGAACAACCCAAGTCTTTATGGATATTTGTGTTTTGCAGCAGATCTGAATGCTTTCTCATTTCCCCACAAGATGTGTAATACCCTTGCTTTTTCTTCTCTTTATTAACTTTCTTAGCATCCAAAAACACCTTCACAAACCCTCTGGTCTTACCTTTGGCCTTCAACATTTTTGATCTATTCTTCCTGCCTTACATGTGATCGTCCATCCCAACACATTCCCCAAGTAACACTAAGCTTGTTTAGAAAAGGGGTGTGGAGGATGAATGTTAATGGCACTTGGTTAAAACAACAACAACAACGACAACAACAAAAAAAACACACTAAAAATTGCTGCCCCTTTCTGCACATGGATTTGCATGTTTAGAATGTAGTCCCCGAAGGGGAGGTCGGTCTGTCTTAATGCAAAATGTGATGTGGTGGGTTCAAGCCCCCTTCCCTTGCTAAAGGCTCTCTACGGTTAAGATTCTCCCACCTTTTTAAACCTTAGAAAACTTCAAAAGCAATGCTGAACTGGGTGCACATTTTCAATCTTGAAGTTAAAAGAAAGCTGTTTAAATTTCATTAAGGCCTTTTAAATCTGTATTTACTTCATTATTATTTTTTTTTTAATAACCATAGGCAAGCGCAGTGATTTTCATGGTCCAATCTCTTCAATTTCAACTCTGCCTTCGCCGAAAGCAACGGCACCAGACTCACCCATTTAATAAACAGGCCTTATACCGTCTCACCGATCTCGCCTCTGGCTGAGCATTCATACCATCATTTACACAAACCAATTTTCCAGTGCAAAGCACAACTCCTCTTTGATTTCCTTTAATACCCTCCATTGCCTCGAATCCCAAACGTAGTCTTTCTTGCCCTTAAGAAACAGAGCTGTTACTTTGTGGTAGCACAGTTTGTTAATATCGTCAAGTCAGGGCTGGTTTTCTCGCTCTTCTGTGCGGCCGGATAGGTAAATCCGCCAACTACACAGCAAACCCCTGACGTACACGTGGAGGGAACCACGTTTCCATTCTGAAGCCGCCCTTTCCCACATCTTCCTTCACAGCCCGCCCGGCTGCGTGGACTGCGAGTCTCCCTACACGCTCTCTCTGCAACTTGCTGACTGATCACTTAGACACTGTCCCGGGTCTGGCTCTTCCCTTCCTCAGCAGTGAGCGAGCCAGGGGGACGCGGCCCCCAGTCTCAGGTCCCTCTGCGTAATCGCAGTGGAAGTGGTCTTTTGAGCTCATTAGCTGACATTAAGGCCTTTCGCAAGGGAAAAATGTCGGTCCTTGCCATTTTTCCTCCAGTGGAACTTGAACCCACGTGTGTGTGTGTGTGTGTGTGTGAAGTGAGGCAGAGGGCGATAGGATGAAACCCCACCGTAGGGTGGGGAGGAAGAGGTGTCTGTGGGTGAGAAGCAAATCCAGCCCAGAAAGGGGCCGCAGGATTCTCTCAGAATCTCACGGTGACCTGCGAGCCGACCCTAACTGATCACACACACGCTGCGGCCCTTCCCCGCGCTTCCGGTCACGTGCTCGTCCCGCCAGCCCACCTGTTTGCCGAGCACCGGCCGCGGTGGAAAGACAGACGCCTCCTCGGCCTACCTGACGCGTCCGCCTTCCGGGCAAGCGCGGCTTGGCAGCCATTTTGAGAGACAACCCTGCTGCTATTATAAAAATAGAGGAAAGAAATGAATCCGTATCAACAAATCCTTTACAAAAACCATAGTATGAAGAGAAGTTCTATCCAAACTCTTTACACATTATGTACCCTTTAAAATTGTTATGTAAACAATACACAAATCAAAGTTTCTCTGAAATTTTGTTGGAGGGAACGTTCCCCCTTTGCCGCCGGAGCCGTGCGGCCCTCTGCTGCGGCTCGACTCCAAGCCGGGTCCTCAGGGAAAGCCGGTCCTGGCGGCAGGGAGGACGGGCCGCCATCTTGCTTTGGTCGCACTCGCCCACGACTGTGTCCTGGGGCCTAACTGCGGAGGTGGGCTGTGAGGGGCGCCTGGGCCCAGGGTTCAGCCTCCCTCCCTCGTCTCTCCCAGCTCTTTGCCGGCGGAACTCTTTTTGTTCGTTTTTCCCCCTTTCTCCATCCAGGAAGCCACTTGCCTTCCCTCTCCATCCCCTCCCAGCCCCACATTTCCCTAGAGACCCCTCCCCACCCCACACACCAAGCCATCCCGTGACAGAAACAAATGACAAAATAACCAATCCCCGGTCTACTGATATGTTTACAAGGACGACCTACGCTCTCACAAAATCAAAATGGGAGAGGGACCAGGGAAAAAAAAAGGCTGCAAAGTATCTCGGAGGATTCTGTGCAACCCTGAAGATGGCTGACACTGGACCCGCAGCAGTCGATTTCACGGCCAGCGCGGTCACTCTCATCTTCAGCTTCTAGATTGTGGAGGTCCGGTCAACCCCGTCTGGGAGAGAAAGAATTCATGGTGGGCACAGCTGAGCAAAACCGTTCCCTTCACGGCGACCTAGTCGCACACCGTGCACGCTGGGCTTCCCGGTCTCTGAAGACAGGTGAAGACCACACTTACCCATTCATCCACCCCTTCATTCACACACTCACCCACTCAACATCTGCGGAGTAGCCATTTTTCCAGGAACTGTAATGAGTCTGGGAACCAAGACAGGAGACCTAGTCCTCACCCTGTAAGTACACACATCCTAGTCGGGACAGCTCTGTAAAGCCACAGGGATGTAGGAGGGATCATTGCTATGATGGGAGTATGTACCAGGCACAGCAGGAAAAATGGAGGAAGATTTAAGATGTCCCTGGGAGTCAAGTGTGGTTTAACGGAGAAAGAAAATGACTTTTGTAAGATGGTGCTTATAGGAGGAGAGAGGAGGAGGCAGGAAAGGAAGAGGGTGTGGGGAGGGCATACAACTCATGTACAGGTGTGATGCTGGTCATTAATTGGTGGGGCTGGGGGCTAGATGGAGGTTTAGGATGTGGGATGGGGGAATGGAGGAGTGGCAGGAGATGTGCTGAGAGTTGGCAGGGATACTAAAGCAGACATGCAGGTGGACCTGTCTAGCTCACATCCCTTTCTTTGGTAGCATCTCCCTCTCAGCGAATCCCTATTGAAAGCCCGGGCATGAGGTGGTTGTGACTCTGAGCCCTAATCACAGCTGAGCAGACCAAGGGGATGCGGCTCACCCACACTGATCTAGATTCTCTGTCTCAAGAATCTGGTTAGGGGCAGACAGCATAGTTAGAGGTGTGGGCACTGGGAACGGAAAGATCCTGTGGAAGTGGGTGAATGCTATGCTATGCAACACAGGCTGTGTCTACATCATGGAGAGTCAGTGAGACCAGGCTATAAAGTGGAGGATGTGCATGTCCGAGACAGAGGCCATCAGTGAGACAAACTGCTGAGGGAGCCGAAGGCTGCCCAGCTCCTTTATGGTTGTCTGCTTACACATGGGACTATAGGAGGATCCCCAGAATGAGGCCATAAGGGTCTTGTATACTATGAACAGGAGCTTGGACTTGGTAATTGGGGCATTCTAAGCAGTAGAGTAATTAGGTCTGATTTTAGAATGGTTTCTCTGGCAGCTGTGTTAGATGACCTAAAAAGGGACAAGGCTGGTGGCAGCAGGGCCCCTACAATGGTCCATGATAGGGCTTGTCTGACAAGGGCTTATCCAGTGAGCAGAGAGAAGCATGCATGAGCCATTGTAGAGGTAGACATGACTGTGTTCAGTGGCTGGTAAATGAAGGCCAGGGAGAGAGGCAGGATGCTTCCCTGGTTTTGCTGATATCCAAACATCAGCAGGTATGTCCTGGACTGAGCCTTGTTGTCACAAACCTGGTTTACCAGGAGGAGCACCTAGATCCAGTAGACAGAACTCAGGTGTGAGAGGGGAGTGGCAGAGTGTTGTGGGAAAGCTGGAAGACCTAAGTGATAGGGGGGAGTACTGAATCCACTGTACAAGCCTCCTCGCCTCCCGATGGGTGGTGCCAGTCTGGTGTCTTGCCAGCAAGGACTTGAAGGAGACATGTTTAATTGAAATTTTTACTGAGATCACTGTAGGTTCACATGCAGTTATAAGAGAGTATCAGGTTTCTGGGTTTGCTGGGTTTCTCCCAATAGTAACATTTTGCAAAACTATAATATTACCATGAAGATACTGATGTTGACACAATTCGCTGACCTTACTCGGATTTTCCCAACTTTACTTGTACTTGTGTGTGTCCATAAATTTCCACATAGTTTTTGGAGAGATTTTAAAAAAGAAAAGCAAATGACCCTGGGAGTGTTTATGATAATCAGGCCATCAGTCCTCAAGGCTCCCAGATGTGAACTTACAATCAGTAACACTGCCCTGACTTCTGCAGGTGTTAACCTGCGCCTCTTATGGTGGTTCTGCAATGGTAATAGGTCATGGGAAACAGTGGTTGCATTAAGTATACAAACACGTGTTGGTGTGTAGACATCACTCTCTTGTCTGTAGGAGTGAAGTGCACACACTTGCCAGGGCTCATGGCCTACTCATTAATGCCAACCCTTTATAGCTGTGTAAGTGGGGAGTGAGAAACGTAAAAATCCCAACTAATCCAACCCCAAGCTGCATTTTCACTTAATTCCAATCCTATGCCTCATCCTCTAAGGGTGACAGTATTCATCTGTAGGGAAATGACCCATAGGTAAGTCCAGATTCACCATTTATAGTTGTGTAAGGTGTACAACTCCTGGGAGCACCATTTTCATGTATTCATTGTGGGTTTTATAGTTAATTATGACAAATAATAAATCAGTGGCAGAACAGCATATTAAGAAAGTAGAGCCTTTTTCTAATTTACACAAAGTCTCCATAGCAGGGGTGCCTGGGTGGGTCAGTGGGTTAAGCCTCTGCCTTCGGCTCAGGTCATGATCTCAGGGTCCTGGGATCAAGCCCGGAGTCAGGCCCTCTGCTCAGCAGGGAGCCTGGTTCCCCCCGCCCCCCCGCCGCCACCCCTGCCTGCCTCTCTGCCTATTTGTCATCTCTCTGTGTCAAATAAATAAATCAATAAAATCTTAAAAAAAAAAAAGTCTCCATATCAGCTAGAAGTGAGGCTGTTAAGTCTCAAGAAGGAATAAGGAAAGAAGGTGAGAAGGAATGGCAAGGGAATCATGTGAAATCCATGACTCCTGGAGCACCAGAGAGTGGATGGGGCATTCCTCTTTATGGTGGAATTCACTGCAGACTCTGTCCTGCTTGAACAAGGCTTGCTTTTGTAGCCATGGCTGTTCCCGCCCATACCACCTCTGTGCAGGAGGAAGATAGCAGCCAGGCCACCAATAAGGAGCAGGTCCAACAGAGCCAGATGAAAGCCTTAAACCAAGATGGCAGAGGCAGCCCACCTCCTTGGCTTCCTCATGAGTTCTGTTGGAGGGGCCAAGGGGAGGGCAAAGAAGAAGCGGAAATGGAAGGCCAAAGAGAGAAATGGCTTAGACTGGCACCAGGAGGGTTGTAATTAATGTAGGACACTGAGAGTAGAGATGTCAGCATGGAAGGATGGGCCCCTCCAAGGCCTGGGGCCCATGGACTAGCCACATTAGAAAGACCATCATAGGATATGGTGTCCCAGAACTTGGCCACCCTCCCATCCCGTCCTGAGACACAGGCAGAGGAACCTCTTTTACTTTGCTTTCCTCTCCATAATTATATGTCCTCCTGTAAAATGATTTAATTCACTGGCATTCTGTTCCCATGAGGTCATCTTCCCAGCACCTGGAAGAGGTGGGCCCAGCAGAGAGGTGCAGTTGCAGTGTGGGTGGGCTCATGGCCACTGTGCCCAACCGGGCCACCCTGAACTTAATTTTCATTCTCTGCTCTGGAAACTGCTTACGAGGCTTCCCACCAGACAGGATTTTTGAGGAAAAACACAGCAATAAGAAGGCTTAGGAGATTAACAAAATGAAAACACTAGCAAAAAAACCCATCAGTTCATAGAGGTTTTCTGTACAAGTAGAAGAATGAGCTAAAAAATGAAACCTTTTCAATGAAAACCTCCCTTTAATAAAGAGCATTTGGCATTCTTGCTACTAATGATGATAATGTTAGCACTTAGCAGTTTGATAAGGGCTCCCAACGTGCCAATTATCGGAGATATATCAAGCCCTGGGGAAGAAGGTCAGTTATCCTTGCTGACTGTCAAAGGCGGAGGGAGTTCCTCACCCACCAGCCACAGCTGGGTGGGCGGGAGCTTGGGCTGCCTGCAGTGGGCTGAGCTTGGCCTGAATGCTCAGCGTCTGGGAGGCTTCCCTTTTTGAAAAAATTGAGATCTAATGTGCATACCACAAATTTCACCCTTTTAAAGTGTATAAGTCAGAGGTTTTCGTGTATTCACACAGTTGTGCAGCCATCACCACTGTCTAATTCCAGAACATTTTCATCCAGTTTCCATCAAGCAATCACTATCCACTTGGCAGTTCCTTCTGGCCCCTGACAACCACTAAACCATACTGTCTGTTTCTACAGATTTGCCTCTTCTGGACATTTCATAAATTCCTATATGGAATCGTATACTGTGCGGCCTTTTGTGTCTGGCATCTTTCATTTAGTGTAATGCTTCCAAGGTTCGTCCATGTTGTAGCATGGATCAGAGAACTTCATTCCTTTTTAAGCTGAACGATATTCCACTGTGTGGCTATAATGGATTTCGTTCATCCATTTCTACCTGTTGATGGACCTTTGGGTTGTTTCCCATTACTCATTAGGGGCTACCAGTGTGCTGACCCAGTCTCCTTGGTTAGCTGGAGAAGAGGAGCTGGTGGCATCTCCCCAGAGAGGGGCCAGGAATGGACCAATGATGTGGTGAAGCTTTTAGGATATGAGTGGCCAAGGGAGAGAGCAGTGTTTGCAAATGGGGTTCCTGGAACCCTGTGGAGGTCATATTAGGAGCTGTGACTTCCCACCATCTGTTCAGTCAGACGCTCTAGGCGGCTTTGGGATAGCTCGCTTTTGGTACTGAGTGGAGGATTTCTTTGGGCCGTGGAGAGCCCTGCACAGCTGAGGTCAGGTAGGTACAGTCCTTGCTTTCCAATCTCCTCCATGCTGAGCATTTGTTGGTCTCATATTTGGTGTCAGGATAAGATTGTGTTTACAGGGACTAAAAATCTAAAAGTCCCTGGTCAGGAGGACAAAGCCCACTGGAGCAGCAGCTGACAGCAGCCTTTCTCCCCACCACGGCTAGATAGCGCACTTTTTGGCTTTAGGTGTTCTGACTGCTCATCTCCAGGGAGGGTGAGCGCATCCCAACTGGAGAGGACTGTTGGGAAGGGTCACAGGAGGCCTCTCTGACTCAGAGCCTCCCGGAGGTTGGCAGGAAGGGGTGGACATTGCTCCTCTGCCTGCCAAACATCCCCAGGGCTGGCGCAGAGTTCAGGCTGGAGAAAAGCACTTGGTTAGTACCCGGAGGGCACTGAAGGCCTCCCGGGGCTCCAGTGATGACACAGGGCTTTGACCAGACAGACAGGGGACAACCCAGCTGCTTCTGGAGCTCCTCGCGGGGCTGCAGCCTGCAGGCACATGGAACTAGACCATCCCTGTCACACTGTGAAGGACGTCTCAGACTGCTTGGGGCTCCAGGCATCGTGGAAACCATTTGGAGCAGGGAGACGTAAAAACAAGCAGCGATTTTTGGTTCAAAAATTCTATTTTTAGAACAAGCTGGGATACGCTTGGACCAGACGGGGAGATCTAGTGCCGAGAAGGAAAGAATCCAATTCTGTTGGGGCGGGGGCGGGCGGGGGGATGTTGCCACTAAAAGCCATGTCTTGTGTTTCTGACTCCTCCAGCTCCCAGCATTTGGCTGGGACAGCTGCTGTGGTAGGACCGCAGAGCACACTGGGTGGGTGGCTCTGAGGGAAAAGGGACAGCCTTGGTCTCTGGCTCCCTGACTCAACTCCCAGAAAAGAAGGAGCAGGGCATTGTGGGCTCCTCGGTGTGGTATGGCTTGACAAGGATCCAACAGCACCCTGAGGCCGTTCTCTCTTTCTGTCCCCTGCCTACCTCTCCTTATGCCTTTCCCATTCCTCCTGAGCTATCGCCAGAATGTAGACAGCAGATGGCTGCTAGTTCTCCCAGGCATGCGGTAAAAGGCAAGGAGGACCCACTCACCTCCCAGGGCGTGCTCGGTCATACTGAGGCACAAGGACTCCAGCCTATTGTTGATGTCAGGTTCAGTCACAGGAAGTTGGAATTCTGCAAGGGACAAAGGGTTATCTTGGTGACAGAGACTCTGAGAACAAGGAGAAGGTATGCACAGTGCTGTGGGGCACCAGCCCGTCCACCCTGGGGCAACTAGGGGAGCTCTGAGGATCAGCATGGAGGCAAGTTACACTCTGATTTCAACCAACCTATGAGTCTTTTAGGCGCACGGAGTCCATTGTGAACATGGGCAGCTGGAAGAAAACTGCCAACTAAAAATAACTGGTCAGAGTCAGAGTCTGTCAGTCCTCTGCTCAGAACCCTCCAGCAGCTTCCCATCAGAGTAACAGCCAACCCCCTGCCATGGCCTGCAAGGCCCACATGATCGGACCTTTATTAACCCTTCCCGTGTACAGCTTTCCTCGCCCTTCCTTCCTTCCCAGGACCTCTTCTGCCCGTTTTTGCACTGCTGTTCCCTCCGCCCAGAAAGGTGGTCCCTCGATACTTCCATAACTTTATCTATCCCTGCCTTCACATCTCTGGCTCTCCTGTGTCTTTAGAAAGGACATTAGAGATAAGGAGAACTTTCCCAGCCCTATTCCTTTTCCTCTGCTTGCTTTTTCTCCACAGCTGTCACCAACATCTGGCCCATTCTTTATTTGCTGCCTGCTCCCAGTTCCATGTTCACTTCGTTGGAGCAGGACTTGGCTCTGCTGCTCCCCGTGCCTAGAAGTGGGCTTGGCGCATTTCTGATTTGTTACAAGGAAACAGAAACCACAGCATGGCATAGTTCTCGAGTGGTCTTAGAGTGACTGGCCAGGTTGGTTGGCTAACACAAGAACCCACAGAACCCACAGGGGTCTGACTCCAGAGCTGGCTCTCTCTGGCATGCTGCAGCGACTAAAGTTGCTAGTCAGTCCTTGCTGCCTCCAGCCACTTAGAAGGTCAGGGATGTCAGCTGGGCAGGTTCTCACTGCCCGGGACTAGGCTGTGTGCCTTATAGTCACAAAGCCTCCTCTACCATCTGGACCTTCCCTATCTCTCCAGGCTCCAGTCCGTCCTCCGCCAAGCAGGAGGCAGCCAGTAGGAGCCTCCTCTGTTCTGCTGGGCCCCTCACTGTCAGTACGTCCCTCTCCCCCAGCCCCCGTCATCCTGGGAAGCTCTTGAGTGTCTTTCACTGGCTTGGAAGCACCTTGCAGACAGCGACAGAGCTCTTATCTCTTTCTGAACCTCCCCTAATTCCAGCGATGGTCTTCTGGCACACTTCACACATGTCTATTGAGTGATGAAAAAGATGGAAACTCTGACAGCTAAGAACTGTGAAATCCTATAGTGGGGGTTAAGGGACAGACAATCAGCAGTGGGATATGTTCTGAGGGCCTGGGAATCTCAAGGTTGCCACTGTCTTCATATGTGACTCTGGGAAACTTCTCTTCTTCATTGGGCCTTCCCTCTTCAGTCTGGAAGTGGGGAAAGGATCCTAGTGGCCCAAGCTCCAGGCCATTTCCTCGCTCCTTTGAATCTCCACCAGAGGGCACTTGGGGCTGGTGGACAGGATGACAAATGAGGTTAGGCTGGTGGTTTAGTGGGATAGGAAGTTGAAACCAATGGCTAAACCAAAGTATTTGTTTTCCTTGATGAGCTACACATTTAGCTTTTCTCTGCAATCTGTGTTCCCCATCACCGGCTAATTCAGAGGCAGATGTCATTTCTGTTGTTTAAAATTCTGAGTAGATGGGCAAAATGGATCAATAAGAAAAGCACTGGGGAGCAGACAGGGTTCTTTCTGACACAAGTTCCAGCATCAATGGGTTTGAAAGGCAACTGTTGCCAATTCATGAACAGAGGATGACTGGGCTTTCTGGGAAGGGGGGCTGCCGGGAGCCAGGGAGAATGGAAGGGTCTCTCCCACTGCCACCCATTGTTGCTGTCAGAGTAGGGTTGGGGCAATCAGACAATCCAGAGGGAAGAGTATTTTAGTATTTTCATCCATTCATGTGAAAATCATATGCATGCAAAATTAGCAGCCTTCAGGGTGTGAAATCTATAAAATAGAAACACAGTTTTATATATAGCCAGTTAGCAAATATGAAAAAAAAAAAACCCTCAGCAATTATAACCATCCATATGCTCATTGTAAAATTTAGTTTACTCTCTAGCACTCCCCTTTAAACAAACACTGTGGAGAGATTTGGATAAATAAAGATGCTCGACATTTGGAGAGAAGTGTTTCAGCTGCAGGATTTCTTGCCAACACGCAGCAAAATGCCATTTTCCAAGCCTAGGACTGCGTGTTCAAAAAAGGGGGCTGAGAAATGCGGGGCTCTCCGCTCTAGCATCTCCAAACCTTAGTGGCTGCTCTTTTAGGTTGAAAGTTGGCACGGTTGCTTTTTCTCCCTTGGCTCTTCCCTCTGGTGCTCCAGGGTGTCGCGACCCCCACCACTCTCAGAGAGGCTCCGAAAAATTCTAAGTCTTGGGAGAAGCCCATATGTTCACACTCCAGAGTTTCCTAATAGTGTGACTTTTTAATTGTGTATTTGATAAAAACAGATCCGTGGCATCTTCCCACACATACAAGACAGAGAGAGACCAGCTGGGTAGATAACAGTTTCCATCTCAGGCTAGAAGCCCTCAGCCAAGTGTGGCTTGGGTGGGCAGAACTCTCAAAGCCCCGGGAAGCATTTGGGCAGCTCCTACCACCCAGGCTCACATGACACACCAGGCCAGCTCCTGCTCTGGCTCCTGCTACCCCAAAGGCTCATTGCATTGAGCCTGGGTCCCCAGCTGTAATGGGCCAGGCAGATGCAGTTTTATGTCCTCAGTAAGGCAAAAGGGAAAGACTGAGCCTTCTCTGCTGTTGCTGGAGGCAGTCCTGTTTCCTTAACTCAGGTGACATCTCTGAGAACCAGGAATTTTTCCCCTGACCGTCAGAACATTCCAGTATTTAGTGAGGGTCCTCTGTCCTAGGAAGCCCAGGGTGTAGGCTGACCTGGAACTTTTAAAATTGTGCCTTTTCAGAAGTCCCATAAGTAGAGAGCCTTGTGCGCAGGCCCAAGGTCAAGGAGATTCTGGGAGCAGCCGCCCATGCCTAATGGAAGTGCTTCTGTAGGGTCCACCTGGAGGGTCCCATGTGGCTTTTTCTTGGCAGAAACCAGCCATCCTAGTTGAGTCTCACACGTGTGGCACGTATGGTGCAGTCTGCAGCTCTCTCCCAGTCCCTGTGGCTGAGGCAAAAGAGGCCAGTGTCTTCAGTACTTTAGAGAAAGAAATGGGGTATCCTAGCAAAAACCACTAGAATTCAACTTTGCCAACAACAGCCTAGGATACTTGTTGAATAGCTAGGAAAGCTTCAAGTTAAGTGAAAAGTGGGGTTGCTGGGAGGCTGAGGAGGACAGGACAGAGGATGGAGAAGTGGGATCCGGACGGGGTAAGGGGTATAGGAAGAAAGGGAGACAGGGAGGATGGGAACCAAGCAGGACAAGGGAGGGTAGTCACAGAAGGAAAAGAAATCAGTGTGGTCAGGGCAAGAGAGCCACGCTGATGATCGCAGAGACAGTCATGGCGGTCGTGGCGAGTGGCAGAGCAACATGAGTCGCAACCCTGAGTCTGCTATGGGAACACAGCTTGTTCGCTGGTGGCCTCATTCCTAAACCTGCAGAAGTCTCTGCTATGAAAATCCTCTAGAACGCACACTTTCATGAAAAATGATGAGAATATAAGACAATATTGTACTGTCTAGGTCTCCAGACTAGAGGTACCACCTAGACTAGAGGTTGGGTCACTCTCAGTTGGACTTTCAGAGGCAGGGGAGCACGGCCCAGGTGCGTTCTTGGCTGTGATACAGTTGAGTCATTCATCAACCTCTCTACCTGAGCGGAATTGTTTGCCCTGGCCTACCAGAAGGCAGAGAGCAGAAATGCACCAGGTACCTCGAGTGGGTCCCTGTTCTGGTCCCTTCCTCTGCATAGTGGCCCCTTCCATTCCCCTAATGGACCCAGTGTATGCATGGCACTCTCCCTCTCCCCACTCTTTTGAAAGGCAGTTCTCTGAAAGGGAGAAACTCACATGAAGGAGGCAATGAATGACAACAGCTTGGGGCACTGTGCTCCCCGGTATGCAGCATTCTAATGGTGGAAGAAATACAGTCACGAGCTGGTGCATAGGGGAGGTCTGCTATGGCGAACAACTATGATACTTCATGATCGGCTGCCATGCAAGGCACCTTATTACCCATCTCACATCTGGGGCAGTGCAGCACCAAGGATAGTTTGCAGATGGTTTTGTGCAGGAAGGAAGAGAACCCCAGAATATAGCTCTGTGAGACTGCCCAGCCTGCCCTTCCTCAGGCTTTTCTTTCAATGTCGGCTTCTGGTCCCTCAGCCCCTTCCTGTCAGGCCCTCCAGATGGTGAGGAGCCTTTGTAGCTTCTCGGTGTTACACCCGGGCTGTTTTGACATCCTCTCTGACTGGATCTCAGTGGCGGCTGAGCCTCGGTCAGCAAGGAAGAAATCTTCCAAGAGAAGGTAGTCCTTCTGCAAGCGATTTCCAAACTAATTTTCCAGTTGGGAAAACACCCTGCCTTTTTGGGAGAACGTGACCACACTAGGCACCACACCTGTTTTGAGCTCAAGTTACCCCACTGGTGAGTGTAGAAGACCCTTCTCCTCCTTGCTCTGGGAGGACCAGCTTAGTGTTTCTTACTCTTGCCACAGGCCAGTGAGAGGCAGCGATCACTTAGTGGCTCTCCTTGTTTATCCCAGGAAACATCTAGAAAACTGTTCCTGTGGGAATAAACTAAAATACCACTCCTGACTTGGCCTCCAAGGGGTCCACAAATCCTGTAGATCCAGGAAAGAAGAGATCGTCTTGCAAATTCGAGCCAGGTGACTGATTGATACACAACTCGGGAACTTGTTCTAGGCCCCAGACTATTCTATATTCTTTGGAGACATTTAAAATTTTCCATCATTTTAATGGAAGCATTTTAAGTTTGAATTGTCATCTTCAAGATCTACCCATCTGATTTAAAATGGAATGTTCTGAAGATATCCAGTGGCCAGGAGGAAACCACGGTGCTGTATTGTAATGGTTTTCTGAGGATCTAATTTAGGGTTGGTCACACATCTCTACTCCATTTTGTGTTCACTACCACTTCTGCTTGTGTAAAGATGAAAGCCACTCGCTGTCTTCCTGATTTTGACTCCCTGACATGATACTTGTAGTCTGGTCATGCCCTGCAGGTGCCAGCCCCTAGAAACCTGCCAAGCAAACAAGGACATGCTGCTCTGAGTGGCAAGGCCCATCCTGGATAGACCCTGTCTATCTAGTACAAAACTTCGTCTGGGCCTGACTGTGGCTGTTAGCTGTGGTAGCCCTGTCAACAAGGCTGCCTCCTCAAGAAGAAGGAAGAGCTCTGATCATGACTTGTGGTCTTAAAAACCAGTGTCTGATCTACCAGGGGCAGGAATGATCTTGGAGACTGGGGAGCCTCCCATGGCAGTGACTCTGTGAAGGGTCTGTTCCCTTCAGCCAGGAATCCTGAAGTCGTGGCTGTGCCCTGCCTTGCTCTTCATGACCATGTCCTGGGAAGAGCCACCCAGCATGGGTTGAATATGCTGGGCAGGACTTAGGAGTGGCTCCTAACCAGTACTCACCCGTTTATTTGCTTATGCAAATAAAAATAATTGAACCCCTCCTTTCAAAAAAAAAGACCCCCAAGTGTTCTAGAGTTCTAAGTCCCATTTATAAAGAACATCATTTAGAGACTTTCGAGTTAACTACCAGGAAAAGTGAAAATAATTATAAGTGTCTGTCTCTGGGAGATGAGACTGGGGGCTGGGAGGGGGAGGGGAAGGGGACAGTCACTTTTCCTTAAAAGCCTTTCTATCTTATTTGATTTTTTTTTTTTTTAACAGTAAGAACAAGAGGGTGTAAATAATCTTAGGGTTATAGTTGCTCTGAGCATTAGCAAGCAACAAAGGTGCGGATGAAGGATATGTATCTACAGACTCAAAGAGTCCTCCTAGGGATGGCCCGGCTCTTCCTGGTGGGCCTGGTCTTCCCAATTCACACAGGAGAACGTGGGGGAAAGTAAGGTGAGAAGAGAGGACTGAGGACTTGGAAGAAGCCAAAGGAAGGGACAGGGGCTTAGAAAGGAGCAAGGAGGCCACAGGTGTATAGAGACTGAAGGAGAAGGAGAATGGTCAGCTGTGCTAGGCCTCCCATGAAGCTGCAGGGTGGCTGGTATGTCGTCCCAGGACCAGGCCCGAGATTAGGGTAGAAGGATACATTCAAGGTGAAAGATCTCCTCGTGCCCAGGGTATCTTCAAATCTCATCTAGCTTCTCGTTTATTGGAAGTGGATTATACAAAATTCTGCATGAAAACAGAGGCTGGGACTACAAGACCCAGGGAGAAGACCTTCACAACTTCATCAAATATTTCTTCTCAGGAAGCTACGAGTATCAAAGGCATTTTAAAACAAACATGCACAAACAGTAAATGTTCTAGAAGTCAAGAAGCAAGTTTAAACAAGCATTTGGGCCATCTTCCTTTCCTGACACACCTTACCTTACCTCGCCATTCCGCCTCAGTGTCTCTGTCCTGCCTTTCCCTCACTCCCCCAGGCACACTCCTACTCAGAATCTTCCACACATTCGCCACTGAGAGTGGCTAGGGTCCGAGCTCCTTGGCCTTGGGTTCAGAGCCCCCGTCATTAGCCGGGATCTTTCCAGCTCCCTTGTTCTACTCGCTGCTACTTCAGCCTGACTTTTTGGCTCAGCCACGGCTTCTGGAACTCACTGAAGTACTTGGTACGATTGTGGTCTTGCTCCCTTGTCTCCTTCTGCATGCACCTCCACCCTCCTCTTTCCACGTCTTCACTCTCTGTCCCCTGAAGCTCAGCTCCAATTCCAATAAGCTTTCTTGCCCACCCAGGCCACAGCGACATTTCCTTCCCTCAAACTCCTGTAAGACTTGCTGTACAGAGCGTCCCTCTTGCCTAGGGTGGGTATTTTCCTACAGATACAACACCTGTACCTGTCTGATTTTCCCACTTAGAAAGTCATCAAGCTAGATTCAGTCATTGTTTGGATGGCTCTATATTACAGACTCTTAAGAGGTCGCTGTCTCATGGACAAAGTGTGCAAGTGATCATTGTCTGTGCATCGTTCTGGTAACCCTGCTTTAGGAGGTGTGGTGAGAGGTGCTGCTGACTTGAAATGACCACGCTGCTCTTTAACCAAGTAAAGGGAAGATGACTGGTCCAAGAAGTCATGTTTGCAAGGCGCTCCCCAACCAGGGGTAAGTCTCTAAGCGTCAATGCCGTGAAAGTTTTCTCTGTCTCTGTTTCACTTTCTGCACATCCCCCCGACATACACCCAAAGTAAACACACACACATAGACACGCACATGCACACTGCACATGGAACCCCTCCCAACTCCCCCAGATACCCTCCAGTGAGATCTCTGGTTTAATCAATCTAGAAATATGACTAGTATCAAAAATATCCCCGTCAGATTGCAACCGACTCTGGGGCTCCATGTGCTGGCTCCCAGCCAACCAGCCGCTATTCATGCTGGCAAGGCACAGTTTAAAAAAGGAAAGGCTTCTATAAGCTCAAAAGAATGCGTGGTGACAGTGGAGGCTAAGCACTTTCCGGCTGGGTTCACAGGGGCATCTATTTTGGCGTCCTGGCCTCCCCTGTGTGTCAGGGGGAGGAGAGAGGGAGAGACCAAGTGCCCTACCTGGCTGCTGGAACATCAGCATATTCTGTGGAGAAGTGTGCACAGGCAGCGAGCGGGTCCTCTGGACTGAGCTGTGGGTGCGGCTCGGCATGCTGTTGCTGCCCCCAGGGTTGGCAAACCACAGGTTCTAGTGAGAAACACAAAGGGGAGGACCCATTAGCCCACACACCCTGGGGTCCGGGGAGGGGTGTGGAGCAGGGCCGCCAGCCAGAATGCCAGAGGCAGATACCCCTGAAGAACTCTTTGCTAACTTCTGGGAGAGGGCTCGAGGCTCGTGCTGCCCATCCGCATATTTATAGAGAGGGGGGTTGAGATTCCATTCATTTTCTTCCCCTCTCCAAGCCCCAGGCCTCTCTAAACCCCAGCTTAATCTGGACAGCTCTCTCCTTCACGATCTCCAAAACTCTTTTTATCCCTTTTGTTGCCTTTGCTTTTCCTATCACTTTTTTTCGGAGATGGGAAGAGTTCTATAAATGTTTGCAACGAAGAGCACAAACTATTTTGGGGCTCTCATTTGATTTTCTTTTTGAGATTCTTACAACTTACTACAAAGCGAGGGGGAGAAAAAAGAATCTTTCAGCTGGCACTGAGCTGGCACACTGAGCTCGCGTTTATTATTATGCGGGTGTCCTGGTGGTGACTTCCTCTTGAACTGATGTGGGGCTTCCCACAACGGTCAGCAAGTGGGGCTTTCTCAGACCCTGTGGTGTATGCTCTGGAGAGGAAATCCTGCCCATTTTCCCTGGAGCTGTTCTCCTGTTTTAAAACCAATCATCCCTTAGTTTCTCGTGACAACGCAGACCCACTCGTGCCCCTCCAATCCCAGCCCCAACCTGCGGAGCCCCACAAAGCCGGGCACACAGATGGAAGGTGTTGGGCAGGGTGCGAAACAGGACTGGTGGGTGGGGAGCCATGGGACAGAAGTCAAATCTAAATCACACAGCCTGGCCTTGAACAGGCGGAGAATGTCCAGCTCTTTCTCTGACAGTCTCTCTCAGGCTCCTCTTTGGATTCTCCACCACAGCTGGGACGGTGACAAAGGAGCTTTTTGCGGTGAATAAGGCTAAGAAAGCTCCTTAGAACCCTGGAACCCAGATCTGGAGGTGGTGTGTTCTGCTGGGGCAGGTCAAGGAGCAGGGGCACATAAAAGGTCTTGCATTTCCTCCTACAGGGTGCTATGTGCAGGGCCGCCAAGGTTAAAGTGGCCAGAGGGTATCCTAAGTAAATCCCATGAAGCCAGGTGCCTTCATGGGATTGCTCGGTCTCCCAGAGAAACAGCACAAACCACTGGCTACTTTCGAACACAGGGACCCCTATATCTCAGCGCAGCCCTCCTTGGCCTCTGTGCTCACCGTGGGGTCATGTAGGGATAGGTCCTGAAGCCTGGGGCCCTGAGCTTGGCGGCCTACCCCCCTCCACAGACACAGAACCAACCTGTCTTCCTTGCTTCATGATGGTGGGGTTGGCCGCAGTGCTGCGCTGGGTGGAGCTGACGAATCCACTGGTGCCCAAGAGGCCGAGGCGGGCAGATGGGACGTTCCGGGAGGGGATCTGGTACTGGCGAGGGTTCCGCCGACCCATACCACCGCCCACAGACCCGGCTGTTGGGAGGGAGTTGGACTGCCCAAAGCCGCGGCTGCGAGACGGGAGAGAGCAGTGAGAGGCTGTTAGGCACCCAGCGCAGTTCCTAAACCCCAGGCTGCCAGCGGGCTGCCTTCCCGGAGTCTGCTTGCATTTTGACAGTTATGAGGTCTCTCTAGGGGCACAGGGTAGCTGCGTGCAGGAAAAGGCTAGGATTAAGATGACAGCTAAGAGACATCCGAGAGGGACTATCACGTGCATCATCCTGGGACTTTGACCCTGATTCTCCAGTCTTCATGAAAACCCTAGGAAGTAGGTGCCCTATCCCCTTTTTCAGCTGGAGAATGAACACTGAGTGCTTTGTGATTTCCGGGGGCAGCAGGGGACAGTGCTGAAATATGAGCCTAGGAGGTTGGCCGGGGTGCTCTTCAGCGGTCTTGCCTGCTGGGTCCTAGGACCCTGAGCACTCACGTGCCCATCCCAAAGCCACATAGAGCAAGAGCGCAGAGCCAGGATCCATGCATCTTCTGCCACACCACAGCCTGTTTCTGATGTCTGTGTAGCACACTTGGAAAGGGTAGCCTGTGAGCCCCACTAGGATGGCAGCTCTGAGACAGAAAAGACGGCATCCATTCTCAGTAGTCCTGCATGGCCCAGGCCGCTGGCTCCCGGCACAGTGAATGCAGGCTGAGTGAATGAACGGACATCCATCTCTGCCATCAGGATGCTTCTCCCTGTGGAAGCGCTGACCCCATGTCTGGGGCTCTGATTCCCAGCTTGAGAGTTGGGAAGGGGAACAGAGATGATGATGTTTGCAAGTATTCTGGACCTAGGACACTGACGGCTCCCCAACTCCACAGGCCCTCCCTGCTGCAGAAAGATGGAGAGGTCCCATGCTTCCCCACATGGACCCAGGGAGGCCACCATGGACCCGTGGCATGGCATTGGGACACCGTGCTCCCACTTCTCCAGTGACCTCAGCGCTCAAGAACTCCTCCTTCTCCAACATGCTTCAGGTTCCGGGACGGTACGCAGCAGCCAGTAGGGTTTCAGAACCAGCACATTCTTTCCAAGAAGAGTCAGCTTTAGTCATTCACTGATGTTTAACTCGAAATGCTTTACCTCCAATGGCCACAAGATGGAATAGACTTGCTTTCCCAGCCACACAGGGGAGGTTCGTACCAAGCCTATGAGGGGACTCCAGCAGACCGGGATGACGTAGTTTAACCAGCTGAAGTATTTAATGGGGATTGGGGGGGTGTTGCAAAATAGTAATATCCTGTGAAAGAGAATTGTGTGTGTGGGGGGGGCATCTAAGCCATTAGACAGGTGATCTCAGAAAATATTTCTCTTCTCCCCAGAATGCCTACATTTCCTAGGGGGAAAAGGGGTGGGGAAGAGAATTCCACAGGTGAGCTGGCTGCAACTGATTTCTGGACCTGTGTCTTTCCACTTCTAGGTTTTTGGGCAAAGGAACGGGTTCCTGATTCCTGTCAGGGACTTATCTACACGTAGTGAGGAGGGTACTAATGGGTTCTAGGTCTCCCCCACTTCTTTTTGTTTTTTTATGAACATTAAAATTTTTTGGTTTGGAAGAAATCTGGGCCTGGAGAGGGTAAGAGCTCCTAGATCATACGATCTAGGAGACCTCTTTTGGAGGACGGACAGTCTGAGATCCATGACAGGTGGAAACAAGAATCAAGTGGTTGTTTGCTTTTTAAGCGACGAAAACTTGTCCTTTGGCCACCTGGCAGATGATTCAGTATTCTAAGACTTTTCCTTATTTAGTGCAGATAGCTTTTTTGCTCATTTTCTTTTTTGGTCGGATTTTTAAAAAGTTATTTCATATGCAAAATACAGTAGTCAATGGGTGACGTTAAAATGATTTGTGCTTCCAGGAAAGCAAGATGATATCCTCGAGCAATATCATGTGGGTAGAAGATTCTGTGATGGGACACTTAGTCACTGAAACCAGGGCTCCAGGGACTCCTACAGCTAGGAGCCATGAGCTGGGCTGTATGTGGCAGGTAGAGGCCAGAACATTTTGGGTTCAGACTAGATCGGGGGTAGAATTTGGCTAGGTCATCTTTCTAATGGCAGTGGGACCCACTGTGACACCCTTAGTTGGTTATTACAAAGCCAAAGTTTTGAGGGTTACTTAAGACCACTAGACTTAATGACATAATCATTCTTTCCGGGGGTGGGGGAGGGGAACAAAGTGACTAGTTAAGTTTTCATTTCTCATTCTTTTGCTCTGCCCATCTGTGTCTTTCTCTGCTTCCCTAAATCTAGCCAAATGACTTCATTACCTTGAAATGCGCGGAGAGGCTGATTAATAAGAACCAATTAAGTTGGTATTTCTGATCATTCAGGCAGGGGCTGGGTGGCAGTTACCTTTGTATTATGGGAGAAACGGTTCTTCAAAGCAAATTAATAGCATAAAAAGACCCCAGAAGTAATACTTCTGAGAACAAATGATTTTTCTAGAGCTTTAGCCACTTCCACAACTGATGATTGAATTCATTCTTATCTCATCAATAAAAACAGGTCCATCAAGACTCCAATATGGCAAAGTTTGGGTAGCCCAATACACACGTTAGTAACACTCTAGAGAGCTCAGGGTTCAGGGGAACTCCGATATGCACCCCGGACAGAGCAGAGCTGGCAGAGGCAGTCGATGACACTTTTGAGAGAAGCAAAGAGCTCAAAAGCTCTGTCTTCCTCTTTATCCTCTAAATTCCTTCTTCCTCTTTCAACATGTTTCCTGAGGGCCTGGTGGTGCAAGAGGGGTCTGGAACCTCGTCCTCTTGCTTCAGAGATGTATGACTGCCCTTACAAGAAGGCAGAGTGAACCTGGGAAGGGGGCAGTCCCCAGGACAAGAGGCCTACTAGCGTGTCTTGCTTTTCACCTGGGCCCCTGGGAATCCTCAGAGTGCACAGGTGGTCCCAGCCCATCTCCCCAGGGAAGGCAACCCCAGAGAGCTTGGATCCAGGGAGCTGCCATGAGAGGGCCGCTCTGCCTGATGGTTTTTTCTGCACATTGGCTGGAGAGCATGAGGGCTGCCTGGCATGTGTAGTGGGTTAAAAGCACGGACTCTGCAGCTGGTGCTGGCCTGCCTGGTCCAAATCCTGGACACCCACTGCCTACTGAGTCCTCTGTAAATGGGAGTTAATAATAGCAACTCTACCTCATATGGTTGTTGCAAGGATTAAATGTATTAATATTCCTAAAATGCTTGGATACCACTTGGCATACAGGAAGTGCTAAATGTTTGTTTAATAAATAACAGTGTAATGTATGCTGGCAGGTGATAACACTTCAACTTTTCCATTAATCTTTAATGAAAACTTTCCATAAATCCCAGCTATCCTTATCTCCCCCAGATGATGTAAAACAGTGGTGATTTAAGACACACTTCTGCAAATAAATGCCAAAATTGTTAATGACACAGAGCTTCTCTGTGCACATTGAGAAATGAATTCAGAACTTTTCAGGTGCAGGTGAAAAATTATTTATCCACTCATGTTTAAAAATGTAAAACAGAGAGTTGATTTTTCACGATGTTTGTACTGTCATCCTTTGTCTCCCCCCAACTGCCTGTCACTGCTGAAGGCTTCACCCCACACCTCCCTAAATTCCTCCCCCAGACTGTCGCTATAATTCACCTCTAATATGCAATCGGATTCCTCCATTTAAAACCAGATTAAGGTAATGGGTTCTAAAGTACAACGAGGCTTATTTTTAACCGCATCCAAGAAGCGGAAGTACTATGAAAACTCAAGAATGGTGCTGCTTCATTCTGGGACTGCAGCTCAGACCAAAATAGACCAGCACTGGGCTCTTCACCCTGCCACCAACTATAATTAGCTAGTCTGCAGCGAGAAGGGAGAAAGAAATGACACTACCTCAGAAAGTGCTGCTGGAACAACCCATTTTTGTCCCTTTCAGGGCCCCCTTTTGCAGACAACCCCCAAAGTGCTTTGCAGGCAATTCCTTCAACTCTATCCATCTCCCCCTCGATGCCCATCTGGCCCAATGCTGTCATTTTCATCATGTAAAATGCGTTACGAAAGATCATATGCGGTTCTTTTTCTGGGAACGCTCTCTCTCTATAGCCTTTTCCCAACTCCATCTGTTGAAGGAGTGGGATCTGGAACTCCCCACAGGGCATCCTGTGGACCAGGAATGGTGCCCTGCCATGGTCCTGCACAGGAACCCAGGGAGGCAGCAGCCGGCTAAGGAACCACCACCGTGCATTAAGAAGAATGAAATCCCAACATACTTTCTTTGCTGTCGATATCCTGATATGTCTAGAAGGGTTTTCCGAGGGAAAGACCGAAAGAGCTTCTGCACCTGCTGTTTCCATGACAACAATCTTTTTTTCTGAGTCTCTGTAAATGCCTGCAAAAACAAACAGGACTTTTTAATGGGTGGTGCAGCCTGGCATTACAGGGAGGAAAACGCAATTAATAGGGGGGACATCAGAGTCTCTGCAGCTGCCCTTGCTTCACCTGCTTCCCACCTGGTCCAAACAGCAGTCAGTTTCACTCGGGAGCCACCTGTACCGACAATTTGACATTGGAGGTGCCTGGTAAAGTATGTGCATTAAGCTTTCGACAACGCTTATTTTTGGCTGCATTTCTGGCAGATCTGTACTCATCTTTGCCTTCTTCCTGACTTTACTCTGGACTCTATAGATTAACCAAGAATGAACAGTAAAAATGGACTGTTGAATAATCTGGCTTTTGCAGGGCCCCCTTCATTTTCATAATCAATGGAAATGCTAAACCACTGAAAAAATCAATCAGCTTGATCATGCGTGGTCTTCAGGCTTTCAAAAAATGGCACACAGTCTCCGCTATACACTACACTACACTATACTATACCATAGGCCAGGATTGGTGCACTGGGATTTTTGTAGGGCATGGGGCTTTGCTGAGAAATCTCCAGTTAAGGGGCCCCATGCCTTACAAAAAACCCCAGTGCACCAATCCTGACCAAAACTTTTCCTAAAGTTTAGGGAAACAGGTAGATCTGATGCCTTTTCACATGCTTTTTAGTAAAAGTGGCACTGAAGGGTATTTTGCCTGCTTTATAACACACTGTCATCTGTATTGCATGTACTTTTGTATACACTGAACCCCAGGCAGTGACTTTACGGGAGTTGTGAGTCCCCAAGGTAGAGAGGCTCAAATCTGGGATACAGAATCCCTTAAGAAAACTATTAAATGCAGATTCCTAGGTCCCTTCCCTGATTTAATACATCTGGACAAGAGTCTAGAGGATGTTCGCAGCAAGTGCCTTGGTAATTTCATTGCCAATGGAACATGGGCATGTGGCATTCTAGATGGTTTGAGGGCCCTACATCCAATATAGGAATGTCCTGTCAGGTGCCTAGAACCATGGTCCACAAGCTGTGGGAGAGCCTGCAGCTCTGATTAGCAGTAACTGTGATAGAACATACCCGTATAGTTTTGTCAATAAGACATGAAATCCTTTAAGTAGCAATAAACTATAACTTAGAGTAATAGACTATATGGGTCTTTCCCATAAAGGAAACAGATTCCTTAAACAGAGAAAACATGACAGCTTAATTTTTTTCCAGCTGACATTTAATCTTTAAGGACCTAAACACAGGAGAGCTATGAGAACAAAAGCAAAAAGATGTTATGTTGTGAAAAAATTACTGACTTGCAAAAACCCCTTCCCCCTGGATGACCTCAGCCAGATGCCTTTAAGGATCTTCATCAAGGAGGGCTACCCAACCAAGGGACTCCGTGCTTCCTTCAAGAGGCGCAGACACTGCACAAAGTACATGGTGGGTTGGTCTCATGGTTACAAGGTGAGGCCATGGTTCTACTTTGTGGTCTCATTTGTGTGTTCTCATTTGTTGGCAACACTTGGTGAGGGTCCAGCTATACATGAGTACCTCTGAAAGCCCGAAAGGCAAGCATGTCTACTGGCCGAATAAAGAAAGAGGTAGATAGATTCTGCTTTTGACTGGCTTCCTCTGCCAAAGATGGAGTGAAAACACAGGATGCAGAGGTGCTGATCTAGATGACTTGGGGAGGAGAGTCCAGCCCAGCTGGTCAGAATAAGGCTCTGGATGGATATGGGCAGGGCTTGAATGCCTACACATTCTTATGCAAGTTCCTTTACCTGACACTCAGTTCCTTTTAAAAACCCAGGATACTATCTCCCTCCAAGAGATGTCGTAAGGGTTAAATGAGATAACACATGAGGTACACTTAGAATACTTAGGACATGCCTGGGCTTAGTAATGAGCCACTTAGAACTGCGGCTCACAGATCCTCTACTCAGGTTTTTGTGGTCACACAGACCAGACCTTTGGTGGTGGTATATGAGTGTTTGTCCCATTTGGCATTCAGCAATCACACTTGGCCCCAATAAATGACTTCAAGTTCTCAAAACTACAATACCAAGCTGGTCTGGAGCCAGCTTGAAGGACAGCTGGCCTGCGTTTCCAAGGGACAAGAGAGGAAATGGCTCACTTTATAGACAGGCCTTGAAAGTGCTTCCAAGGACACCAGTTCATACAGGACATCTCCCGTGGTGGCAAAGACCGTCCAAGAAGATGGAAATGTTTATACCCCAGCACCACCCGGAGAAGTGAGCTCATTCACTCAACACAGGGCAGCACGCTCACTTCATTCCAGGCTGCAGAGAGGACTCAGGCCCTTGGCCATGTTGAGTGAGTGTGGCGGCCACTTCTCAGTCTTGGAGGCTGTAGCTGGGAGGCCTGGAGAGGAGCTAGAGGTCATGGCTGGCAATAAGGGATTTCTAAAAGCTGGTTTGCCTGCATTTGCCTGAGAGTAGCCCTCCATTGTGGGAGCTCTTCTGCCGGCTGGGATGGCTCACATCTCACTTCAGCCATTCCACTGGCAGCTCTGGGTTGAGCTGATCGCTTCCTCAGGGAGTGGAGGGGAAGAAGCATCCATACAACACACTGACACAGCCAGTCGGCCTCTTCCAAGTCCTCCGTCCCTGTCAGGGCCAAACCAATGAGTCTGTCTGGACGAAGATGGCTACGATGTACCCTACAACTTTCGTGTAGGATTAAAGGGCTCATAAACGGGCAAGAGCTCATCTCCACAGAACCTCCTTGGGATGGCGAGGAGGCAAGAAGCTGGGGATTATAATCCAGGAGATGAAATTCAGAAATGTTCTGTCCTCTCTTCTGTTACTCTACGGAGTTGGTCCCTTTGTCCCTGGGGAGGAAGGAAGGTGTCTAGGTTTGGTCAGTCCTCTCCCATCCAGTCAGCTAAGGAATGGCTTATTTGGGCTGTGAAAGGGAGTCCTGTTTCATGGGGCCCAGGTGAAATTCAGCCAGGATGGAGACTGTCATGTCTCCATGGAGCCTCACAGGGAGGGAGTGTGCTCCCCACACAGAATATCCCAAGCCTGTGGAAAATTATTCAGACATGTTTCCTCTTTCTTGAACTAAAATAATAAAAGTCTTGCACAACATTTTCCCTTCCAAGACAGAGTGCAGGCCCCTCCATCCTGACATGAATGCAGGCAAGCAGACGTGGCATGAGCTCTACTTGGCCCAGGACTCCCATCAGCCAGAGGTCCCTCTACTGCCGTCAGGGTCTCTTGCCAGCAGATGAGTCTACATGGTGCCATCTTTGCATTTAATCACTTGGGCAGGCAGCAAGGAAAAAACCAGGAATTTCTCTAAATATTCTAAGGAAATGGAAAGGAGAGCCAGGTTGCCCAAGGAGGGCATGCATGATGGCTGGAAGGTGAGAAGGATCAGGCCACAGTTTTGGGCTGGCGGGATCCAATTAGGAAGCATGAGCACTGTCCAGTGGAGGCCACTGGAGGGCTCATTACTTTGTCTTACGGGCTCAGCAGACTTGAGGCAAGACAGAAAGTAACTTACAACTTGTTCTCTGGTGTCTGGAAGGCTCCATGTGAGCATGGGCGTGGAAGAACATGCAAGGTTCTAGTTTGCTTTACGAAAGTTTAGATCCTCCCCTAATCGGTCCCCCCCAAAACCCACTCCAAATGTTCTCCTCCCCAGTAAGACACAGGGGAGCACTCCCTCCTGCTTATGCAGTGAGTCTGTACCACACCAAGACTCGGCTTCCCTTTCGTGCCTAGCTTGGAGGCAGTTCCTCTAAGGCAAAGCCATTTCCGGCTCCTGGTTTGGTGGCCTGGCTCCTTATCTAGGTTCTGTGGGATGCCAGCAGAGCCCCAGCCTCCCGTGTGTGATCACCCGGTCTCCTTTAGTCTTCCCCACTACCCTCACACCATAAGCTACCTAGCCAGGGACAGGGCCTAGGCGTTTAATAAAGATCTATGGAATGAATGAGTTCTACAATTCTTTAAGTGCTCTTGCCTTCTCGTCTTCCTGGTGCTTTTTGCTGGCTGAAATATGTGGTGTCAGGACTGCAAACACCAAAGGGTGAGTTGGGGGTTGAGGGGAGGGACACATAAGAATTTGCATTGCTGAGAGAGGAAATAGCATAAAGGAGAGTTTAGGGGATTGTGGGGCAGTGGCTGGGAAGGAAACCAAGAAGGAGACCATGCTCGTGAGTGGTGGGTAATCAGACTGTGGAATGGTGGAGGGCCCAACGAACTGGCCTTGGACAGATGCCCCTGTGTGGCAGCTGGAGGGTGGGGACAATGTGAGTGGGGCGGTGGGTGAAGGGGCTAGACCTCTGCCCTGTGTGTCTCCTTTCACTGGGGCCCACCGCACTTCTGGAGCTCTGGATGCCAACCCAGCAACAGTGAGCAGACTTGGGGGGGGGGCCTTTACCATCTTATTCTAACATTAAAATCCAACAAAAAGACCTCAGTGCTCTTAAACTTCTCTAAAGCCTACACTGTGATTCTTGTCTCTGTGACTCTTTGGAGGGGGTGCTCCCAAAAAACCACTAGAGTCTCGGGTCTGGGGCACACCCCCTGTCTGCACATGCACCTCGGGGCAGCCGGCCAGGCAGGTGGCTGTCCCAGCAGCAGCCCCCAGGACCTGCCCTGCTCCGTCAGGGAGACGGCGCTCACACTGAGACTAACAGGGCACAGCTCCAGCCTTCCTCGGTCCTCCTGCCAGAGGACATGTGGCTCAACACGATTCCCATAAAAATCACAAATCGAACCACATGGAACATAAACACAAACACATTATTTCTTTTGTACACTCCCCAACCCTCCCCCAAGTTTCCCTGAGTTGAAAGGCAAAAAGTTTCAACAGAAAATTTTAAAAAGACTTGAAAACGCCAAGGCGAGGTGGCAGGGCTGGACGTTCCCACCTCAGGCTTGGTCACTCAGGGATTCTTCTAGAGCCAAAGTTTCTCTCAGGCATTCACCCCCACATCAGAACTCTATCTAGATGAATTTCTAGACACCACCGTGTTACAAGCTGTGCTTAGGTTTGAAACCATCATAGCTGAGTTCTGCCCAGCTATTATTTATGCTTGTCTAATCTTCAAAAACAAGTTGTTGGAGACCCAAAGGATCACATCACAGAACCTCTGAGAACCATTCCTAAGCAATGAGAAAAACAGTTTTGTGAAACCTATTACTACTCACCTCATGAATTAGACACTTGTCTATGAGCTGTAAATAGGAACTTATATTTTCCTCATCAGGTCTGGAGACCAAGAGCTGTGTGCACACTGTGAGTTTAAAAAAGAAAGAAAGAAAGAAAGAAAGAAATTAAGAAAAGATGAATTAGAAACATGTATAACTATTCTAACCTCCAAGATCTGCCCCTGATTTCCTTTCAGGACCAATATCTTGACAGGTATGTGTGCCTGTGGTTTTACATAAGGTTCACAAAAAAGGCCAGGAGGCTCCTCATTCCACTGAAGTCAAAGGCTTGGTCACCATGGGAGCCCTCGCCTTGAGAAGCCCCTTCAGTTAATTCCAGGCATACCATTCTATATTAAGCCTTCTGCAATCCAGCCTGAGACAGACACTCTGGGAGAAGAAGAATGCGGCCATGTCCTGAGCCCTCTCTCAGAAAGAGGCTCCTTTTGAGAAAGGAGTTCAAAGGCATCAAAGATCGTGGACATTATCAGAGCGCTGTCGCCGTAATTTGATGAATGAACTGCGTGCCTCATTTAGAGGCGTGAAGCTCTGGCACATCTTCTAGCACACGAGGTTTGTGGGCACGCACACGAGCAGGACATCTGCTACTCGGTTACTGGAGGGTTATTTTCTCAAAGCGATAACACACTTACACACACGTTGGTCCGCCCACACACGCAAGTAACTGAAGTAATAAAGACAGAGAAGGGCAGGTCTGCAGGTAGAGCACACTGCCGCTGCCCACCCCCTCCCCCCGCCCCGCCCTGTGAGCTTCCCACAGCCACGCTAGTATGGCCCGTTCGAATCTCGTCCTGGAAGCTCTGATCTCCATGGGGGTGTTTTGAAGGCCATGGCACATGTGGTTGGACAGAAGATGTCCGTTAGAAGGGAAAATGCCTTGCACTCAGGTAGACCATGCTTGAAACCTGGGCATCACGATTCCTTTCTCCCCCTAATTCTGCATACCCACTCTGTCGCAGAATTCTGCAAATCCCATTTATACCCTATCTTTGCACAGAGACTCCCAGTACAGCATTGTTTGTACTGACAAAAATTTGGAAACCGTCTCCATGTCCGTTCTCCGGGGCCCTGTCAAATTATGCCTTATGGGTACAGTGGAACACGGCATGCAACCTCGGAAAAAGAGATTGGGTGGTGCTATGGTAGTGACAGAAATATTGAAAGTATACAATGTAGAAATACAAGCTGCAGAAAAACATGTAAACAACACCTGCTTGTGGGTAAAAAGGATACTCGTGTGCTCATCTAAGACTATTAGTAAGTTTCTGGAGGGGCAGTACAAACCTGTTTAGAGTGGTCACCTCTGCAGGGGAAGAGGGTGGCACTTGGGGAGAGAGGTTATTTTTCACTTTCCATCATATTGTTTCATTTTGAGTTTTTATGTTGAGCATGAATTGATTTTATAATTTATTTGAAAGTAGCCAAAGTTTAAAAAGAAGCCATGCCAGAGGAGTTTGGGTCTCTTGAGGACAGAGCCCACCATGGACCACCATGGTGGACTCAGGCATCCACCCCCACACGTATCTTCACCCTTGGGGTCATCCATTCTAATCCCCCACAGCGAAGAGCCCACTCAGGGGTGGGAGGTCAGGACTCTGAGGCGAGTGGGGCGGGAGACCAAGGACCCACCCTGGCCATCAAGCTATTGGCATCTCCCCTCAAAAGGATGTCACAGGTCATCTCTGAACCAGATTTCTATGGCTGGACATCTTTTTTAGGATGTGTATACACCGGGAGTTTCTCACTGCACCTGTAAGACTCAGGTGTCCATTTCTTTTGGTAAAAGCTTGGTTCTTGAAAATGACTGGACAATCAAGAAAAAATTGTTTCTCCTTCCAAAGGAAAAGTATGGGCATTCACTGCATTTTTAACATAATCACATTTTCTCGTGCAACACCGCATTCGAGCACAAATTCTTCTAGCGTTGGGACTTTTCAAGGATAATCACGTAATCATAGTGCCATTCACGGGGGAGGCCCAGGGCAGTCCAGGTGAAAAGGGTGCTCTCACCCAGAGGACCACATGAGAATTCTATCCCGCCCTCAAATAGGCATGAGGCATGGTGGCCATGGTGCCAGCCAGGCACAGTCTCCCATAAGGGCTGACTTCCGCCCAAGGGCTGACTTCAGCCCGCAGGCCCAAAGGCCCCACGAGCACTCACCCTACCAGGTGGGCCCAGCAAGCCCTGATCTGAGGGAGTGGGAGAGCAAGGGGACTGGGGTAAGGAAAGGCCTTTGGGGATTAGAGGGATCAGAGTTCAGATCCAAATGACCACCTCTGAACCTCACTCTCCTTGTCAGTAAATGGGCTAATGGCCTCTACCCCGACAGGTTTATCCAGCACTCTGGGAAAGCTTCTCAGGAACCCAGGGCTCTGGTTAGTGGTGTTGGAGGTGGGCGGGGAGGGGGAGTGGCGAGAGGTGTGAGAATCAGGCTCTACCTTTCCCCATGACACGTGTGAACTGCCCGGGGAGATCCCCCTCCGGCAGTGGGGCGACAGCCAGCTCCCCATCACAGCTACTCAGCTGGTGTGGCTGCAGCCCCCCGCTGGCCCCAGCCGAGGTGGTCGCTGGGACCCCGGTGGCCGAGGCACTGTCTTTGCCATCAGGGCTCTGGCCCTCAGGGCCCATCAGCGAGGGCGGGTGCGGAGCCTGGGGCTCCCGGCGGCGAGCCTCAGGGGTGGTGCTCGGGGGGCTGTAGGCCTTGATGGGAGTCAGGATCATCTGGTGCAGTTCCTGGAGTGGGACGCGCAGGTTGCCCCCCTCGATGATGTCCTGGAGGGTCAGAGGGAGAAGACCTCAGTTAGCGGCAGGAACAGGGGTGACCCAACTTGGTGCCTCCCCTCCCCTGTCCCGAGCTGTTCCCAGACAGGACTCCCAGCAGCTGACCCCTTCATTGCAACATTCTTTGGAAGTGCAATCACTTTAATTTTATCGTCCTATGATTAGCCCGGGTAGAAAACTTGGAAAATACGGATAGGCATATCCGTATTTGGAGCACCTGCAAATCCCACCATCTAGAGGTGATCATTAAAAGGATGTGGCACATTTCCTTCCCTGGCTTCTTCAGTGAATTTCTAGAAAAAGCATATATATCATTGACAGATACAGACTTTAGGAGCTGTATAAGAAAGCTGGGTCACACATTAACATCCTGTCCTGCATATGATTTGTTGTACAGGAAGGAACCTGTGCACTCCCACATTCACTCAGCCCCCAACACAGGCACCACGGGGCAGTGGTGAAGGATACAGACTCTAGGGCCCGGCGAGGGCAAAGCCTGAGGCGGGAGCCTGCCGGGAGCGTATGAGGCAGAGCAAGGTGGCCTGACGTGGAGCCGGATGGTGAGGGGAGAGGGCAGGAAATCAGGTCTAAGTTGCTACTGGGGCCTGAGCACAGAGGCATGAATGCTGAAGTGTTTCTATATGAGATGGGACGTCAGGGAAAGTTTCGAGCAGGGAAGTAACATGCTTTCGAAGAATCGTTCTAGAGAGAAATATGTATAATCTATGTGTATAGGATACAGCTGACCCTTGAACAATGTGGGTTTGAACTCTGTGTGGTCCACTTACCTGCAGATTTTTTCAATCAATATGGTACAGTATTATGAATTTATTTTCTCTCACGATTTTAACTTTTTCTACTCTCTAGCTTACTTTAAGAATACAGAATATAATACATATAACACACGATATGTGTTAATCCACTCTTCTTGGTATCGGTAAAGCCTCCAGTCAACAGTAGGCTATTAGTAGTTAAGTTTTGGGGGAGTCAAAAGTTATACATGGATTTTCAACTGCACAGGGGGGTGCCCGTCTACCCCATGTTGTTCAAGGATCCCCTGAAGTTATCTATAATATATAAATGGCTTTATATATTGTAGAATATAGTTGGGACCTTCTGTACCTACTGTTTGATCTACTGGCCATTATGTATTAGAAAAAGAGTGAAAGTGGATTTTGATTGACATTTATCTGTGCCCCAGATGCTCACGGAGGCACAGAACAGGCTCTGAATCTTGGGGCCGGGGGTCAGGTCCTGGAAGTCTTTTGGGTATGGTGAGTGGCCTGGCCCTCTGCCCTGCTGCTGTCCCAGTGGTTCTGCAGCAAACCTCTCCCTGGGACCCAGGAAGGACACTGACAATTGGGGCCCTGATTACTAATGAAGTACTTAGTCTTCTGAGAGCCCAGAATAGCAAGGACGTTGCTGTAAAAGCCTGAAGCACGAGTACCAATCCATTCGCGGGATCCTCTCTTACCAAGGAAAATTGTTGGATGATGTCAAGGAACACAAGCCCACGGAACAAAATCACATCTGCATCCTGACTTCCCAATCAGTCAATTAGAAAAAGGAAACCTGGGGATGGGAGGCTTGGACAGGCAACATTTCAGTTCTAGGCAGTAGACCACCAACAGCCCGGCCCCATCTTTGGAGGGAACCTGCTTTGCTCAGGACACTGGAGGCAGAAGTTTAGCGGAGTTGGCACTCAGGGTTATTGAGGAAAGTGAAATGTTAAGTAGCCATCAGAATTGTCTCGGTCTTGCTCAGGGCTACTGTCCAGCCTATTTTAGAGGAAAGGGTCCATTTTTCTTTTAAATAGGAGGGTTTTTGAGTCCACTGCCTTCCTTGTAAGCCTGGCAGATACGGCAGGTTACGACTAGCCTACTGCCTGTGCTGGCAAGCCTGACATGGGAGCCCAGCGGGGCGGGGGCGGGGGCGGGGGCGGGGGTGGGGGGGTGCTCCTGATCACTCCCAGTTGTCCTGCTGCCCGGACTGGACCAGCCTCTTCCAGAGGCTACAGGGCAGCACGCAAATGGTTCCTTGACTTTGGACATGGTGATCCACCTAGGCAGGGTATATGGAGGTAAGCTAGCTGGCCCACGGCAGGAGAGCACCTGTTGTCTTTCCCAACTCAACTGTGTGTCAACTGACGAAACCCTGTGTCGAGGTCCTCCACTTCCAGCCAACTGCATAGCTGGCACCTAGGACATGGAGGGTTCTGATCTTGTCCAGCCCCTGACTGAGCCAGGGGAGGGGGAAAGGAGAGAGAAGGGATGAAGCTTCCTCAAAGAGTGAGGCTGAGTAGGCAGAGCTGGCCAGCCTATCTGGGAGATCACATGCCTCCCTGCCATGCTACCCCATGTGCCAGCGACCACTGAGGTGACATTTTGTCACCTGCCACCAAACAACCCCCGCCCACTCCTGTCACCTGCCAGAAGGCTTCTGTAGTTACTTAGTGATGGAGAAAGGAGATTCTGATTATGCTAAGAGCTGAACTCCTAGAAATAGGAAACATACAGATGCCCCGAGTTCAAATCTCATTTTATTCCATTGGAGACAACCGCTCCAGAAAGGAATCCATAAACCTAATGAATAATGATGGACGCTCTCTGTAAAATATCTTATCAGGAATCATGAAGAGTTTTGTTTTGTTTTGTTTCCTACCCACAGCCTTCAAACCAGTGTCTCCAAGAAAACACCTGGCTACCAACAAGTTAACAATGGCCTTTAGGCCAGCTCCCATGGGGTTACACGTATGACCCTTCAAAATCCATTCTAGAACTCAACACTGTGTGCCCAGATTGGGAAGGAAGCTAGAAAATGGCCTGAGTGGGATTCACTCCAGTGTCCTCGACTCACTATAGGAATTAATTCTGCATGTTGACAAAAATAGGGAACCAACCCAAGTATCTATTGATCCTTCAGATCATAAATATAATCCTACATTATAAACACAAAGAGGCAAAATGAAGCTGTCCGTTCACTAATGGGCAGAGCCGAGGAGCTCATGGCAGAGCAGGTACCATGAGACCTGTCCTAGCGCTTAGCTCGGGGGTCACAACTCAGGCTTGCATGCAGGAAAGGGAGCTACTTGCTGACCCACCCCTTCCCTGGCTTTCTTAGGTCTTGGAAGAAGACTGCTTTGGAAACTTTCACAGGGCTCGTGACGGCAGCAAGGGGCAAATCACCTGGAAGACAGGACTCAGGCAGCCAGCATCCCAGCACTCACTCACTGTCTGTGGCCCCACCCTTCCCTCTGCGTGGGAAGTCCTGGACTCATCATGCAGGAGACAGCAGGCTGGCATTGGTTGAGACCCGCTCCCTCGCCACCTTTCATTTGCCAGACCCCAGCTGAGCCCTACCGGAAGCCAGGACCTAAAGCAAATACAGCAGAATCCTTGCCCTAAGATGCTTACCGTTCCTGGGCCCATACAGTGTGAGCATGCTGCCAGGACCAGGAGCTGTGGGAACACAGCCTGAGTGTGTGTGTGTGTGTGTGTGTGTGTGTGTGTGTGTGCGTGCGCGCGCGTGTGTGTGTGTCTCCTTTCTCCAGGCCAGGTTCCCAGGGAAGGGTCCAGCTTCACAGTTTGGGAGTTAGTTGCAAAAAAGACAGTGAATGAAAAGCATGCGGAAACATTTTTAATATCAGAGATCAATGTTGAAAAGTCTATCCCAGCGACCAGTCTGATCTTCTCTTTTCCACCAGACATCTTTCCCCGATGACCTTCTCACCCATTCACACTCCCTGGCTCATGGGTTTTTGCTCTATCCCTCCATTCTCCTGGCGACCCTCCTTACAGCGGCTACCAGTGACCTGCCAGTGGCTGATTTTGGGGGGCTGGGGTGGGTAGTGTTCAGTCCTCATGGTGTGGGACACATTCAGGACCCCTAATGGGATTCCCTCCTGCAAACACTCTCTCTGACCCTCAGGGCAGCTCAGCCTCTGGCATTGTTCGGTCCCTCCATCTTCTGGTGCTCCTCAGGGTCTGTCCTCAGCTCTTACCACTCAACACACACTTCTGGGAAACCAACTGCCATTTACACACAGATGAACCACAATGAGTCTTTCAAACCCTGTGGACTCCAGCGTTGTCCTTCTGGCCACTAACTTGCCTTTTGCACCACAGTGTCCCATTGGCACCTCAGACGATCTGTGGAGGTCCAGCTGATCTCCGCTTCTCCCGCCCTGGCAACTCCTCCTACTTTTTATGTTTTCAAACGGCACGGCACCCAGGCCAATGCCTGGACTTCTGCTAAATGACCTCCCTTGTCCCTCTCCACCTTCACGCCCCCTGCCTTAGCTCAAGGGACCACCAAGGCTGGCTCTAGGCTCCTACTGGGTTCTCCAGCCCGTGCCAGCCCCTCCATGCTCTCCCTCCTCCTCCCTGCGGCAGAGTGCTTGGTTTTATCCCAGGAAGCACCTCCAACCAGCCTCGGCAATGGCACCAATCACAGGGGATTATGAGAGCACTGCAATGTCTGTGTGACACATCTGTGTCGCAACATGCATCCGAGCTCCGCAAAGGCAAGAAACATGTATTTCTGTATTACTCACGGTTAGTCTCCGGTTGGGTGGGAGTAAATCTAGTCCAAGGCAGCTGCCTAGTACGTATTCAGCGAGTGAGTGGAAGTGCTCTGGACCTAGAGCTTACCTGCAGCGACTACTGATTATGAACTAGCCACGGGCGGGGTCCCAGCTATCTCCTTAGAAATCTCTGGGTTCCATGTGAGGTAAGAATGCTGTAGGCAGGGGCCTGATGACAGCATTTCCAACAGCATAATCAGCTCGGGACATCTGGGAATGCCAGAGAAAGGGCTGGTGCGAGTCCGTGAGAGGAGACCTAAGTGGTAACACAGTAGGGACAGCTCCCTCCCTCCAAGAGCAGGAGGGCCCTGGGTCCCAGAGGAGAGAGAACAGAGGCGAGGGCCTGAGTCCTCAGTGGATGCAGGATCCCTTCCCCCAGGGCATCATTTCCTGAAGGGATGAGCACACAGGTGTCTGAGCTCAGGTGTTCTGAGGCAAGGTCAACGCGTTGGTCTGATACACACACAAGCTTTCTTCCCCCAAGATGTCAAAATAAACTCCTTACTGCTTTCTCTTGGCCATTAGCGGCCCTCAGACTTTGTGTGACTTTTGCCATCTTTGTAACAATTCCCATTCCAGTGAGCCTGGCAGAAGGTATTTTTGTGGAATTAATATTATTCAAGGTGTGAAATGGCAATGGGCTTCTCAAAGGCCAGACAGAAAGTGAGCGGCATGTCAGGCCACCTGTGCCACCTTGCTGCTCTTGTGTTTCCACACTGATTCGGCCCAAGGCCACAGGGGTAGAACAAACAGTGGTTCCGTCTCTGTCCCTCAGGTCGCTGTGTTTCCTTAGTGACAGGGTTCCTGTGAGTTTCTGAGGGAAGCTCCAGAGATAAAGGGGGCTGATCCCTCTCTCGCCATAATACTCAGCTGTCTAGTTCTTAGGCAGAACACTTCCTGGGCTTTCTAACAGAGACAGAGAAAACTGGCTTTTTCATGGTCAACAACAAAATGGGTTCTTATATTAAAGATGGCAACAATCACTCAGTCAGACAAACCGCTTGGTATATAAAACAGAATTAAGAATAACCTTGGGTTTAGTCGGATAGGTCGCTTGTCATCTGTGATTCACTTTAAGGACAGGCCTCTCAGTACGGACATGCATGTGAGTAGTCTCTCCCTGTCTATCTCTCCCAAGGCTTTCAAAGCCACCTTCCTTATAAAGTTACATATGCATATTCTGTAAGTATATGTTACTTTATATTTTATGAGATATGCATTCAGGGTAACTTTATATATTCTATGTAAAATTATACACACACATCTTTGTACATCAGTTAAAAAAAAAACTTCCATTGCATTACAAAATTTTTACGTGCTCACAGAACTTGTGTTAGCCCCACCAAGCTCCATACTTTCTTCCCTTCCAAAGGCACCCTGGGATTGCAAGAGGACATCACTGCTCAGGCTGTGTAGGGAGCACATACCTACGGAGCTTCCAGCCCGCCAATCCCAACCACCTCCCAACAGCAGTGCCTGCACCAGAATTCCAGGTTGGGGCAGAAGCAACACGGGAATGAGTCTTGCTCTCTTTTGCACCTCAGATGAAATCATAAAGTCACCAAATCCCAAAAATGATATCGGTACAAGGGCGATGTCTGGATACAAAGATAGGAAGAGAACCTGTGTAGGCAGCAAACAAAAAGAGACAGTGGCAGCTGATAAGTGCTTATCAGCCCAGTAATTCTGATGCCTTCTATTGAAGCCAGAGTCTCCCAGGATGGCCAGTCACAGGCTGCCTGGACCCAGGGAGTAAGTACATGGCAGTGGTCAGGTTACACAGGAGTGTGGATAACCAGGAAACTTGACTTCAAAATCCTTTCATTCTTTTTCTGCCTTTGGTAAGGAAACAAGGTGAAAAACTCTGCAAGGTAGGTCTACCCATGACACCTTCAGCCGAGACGTTTCCCATCATGGCGGCAGAGACACGCCCTCCCCAGGCGGTCACTCACCCTTTCCAAAGACTTCAGGAGATTTTGTCTTTCTTTGAGCTTCTGAATACTGATGACAATTTTGTGTCTTGCACCTTTGGTAACATTCTGTAATTAAATAAAAGTTACACTTAAAAACATATTTTTAAGAAGCAATTTAGAGACTCCTGGAGGCTAGTCAATACTTCACTGTCTTCTTGAATTCTACGTTTGTGGACTAGTAAATATCCATTTGTCTCTCTCTTCAGTCCCCTCAGTCACAAACCTCTCCTTACTAAATGTTCTAACTACATCTGGCTATACATTTGCCTGTGTCCTTTGGTTGTGACCTTTAGGAGAGAAAAGAGAGAGAAAACTAGAACAGCCAATTACCCACCCAGCATGAAATTTCTTGTCTTCAACTATCATTTTAAAGTTATACACTCTTCTCTGTATTTTGTCATTTCATTCCCACCCAAGGTTGCTTGAAGGTTCCAATCCCATATAGAGCTTCATTGTTTTCTCAAACCTTTCCTGGGTTTTCCTATCTCTGAAGTCTGGTAACGGTTCTCACCAGGTACCGTACAACACAGGGTAATTTTTGGCAGTTTACAGGTCATCTTTGGTCTCCATAAGGAAAACAAGAATAGAAAAGAACCTAAAACTCTTGTTCAGTCATCACTTGAGCTAAATGAGGAGGATTCACAGTTAGAGTTGTGGATTTTGTCTTAACTGTGTGCAGTGGTGAGCCCAAGGATTTAGGTCAGTGCTTGTTGATTAGAGATACAGCAAAGTTCCAAACAGGAGGTCCTTTCTTAAGTCAGGTCTCTAAGGCAAACTTCTGGTGACTTCTTTTTACACCTACTCATAGAATTCCTCTTAAAGAAGGAAAAGATGGGAACACCAGAGGCATCTCCTTCAGAGATATTAACACTCGAGTGACAGCAGAACTCACTCTCTAAGATGAAGTGCTGAGGGCAGATTTCTCTTTATCCTTGACTTTGGGTTCAAGTGAATTAAATTACTCTGCATGCTTCTGGCTTTGCCCTCTCTGTCAATTAGGTCGTATTTTTTCTCAAGTCAAATAACTGAGGACTTAGATTTTTTTTTTTTCTTAACTCTGACCCAAACACCAAAAAATGCTCTTAGAAGTAGGTCTCATCAATCCCTGGGATTGATTAAGGAACAATCAAGATCCACAAAGTGGTGGGAGAAGTGTTAGGAAGTTGAGATTAGTGCTTTTCATTCTTCTAGAATGTACAGTGACTTTGGGCTCTGCCTTGCATCTCAATACTGATATTCAGTCAGGCCTGTGGAGGTTAACTGAGGGTACTGAGGATGCAATGGGAAACCAGCATCTGCTGGGAGGTAGGAGTCGAGAGCAGTGTTGCCCCAAAGGGTACAATCTCCTCTTCCTGTGAAGGAAATATTATTAGCCTGTTCAGACATTTAATTCTTTTAAATCATTGCTCAAAAGAAACTGAGGTCAATTTGAAACATGCAAATGGCATTTTAAACAAGGGAAACAAAGATATCAGTCAGATTTATTTATTTGAGCACAGCATGGTAGGAAACATGGTCAGTTTTGGGGGTCTGTTGACTGGCCTAGCCTTTGGCATCCAGACTTGGGCAAAGATGCCTGAGAAGGAAGGGGAAACTTTGTTCTTTTATGGCACTCAGAAGGGAAATGAAACCAGATACCTGGGGTAATCCCATTCTCTGCGTCAGTCCCATGTTATTCAAGGTAGTTAGAAGAAAAAAATGTTTGGCACCACTTACTCTGTTCTCAACTATGTCCAATCTGAACATGTTCTTGGAAAAGTGTTGGGGAAGGTCTGAGGCATGACTTGGTGCTTCTAATTACTAACTACTAGAAGTTAGCTGATTTATTACCAGACTGGACAACAGACAACCAATCTGTTATAGTCCAAACAGCCCTTGTCCCACAGATGGAGGGAGGGGGCAGGAAAAGCAAAGGCAGGGACCCAGACTCTTTGGGGCCTTGGTTAGATGTTCTTTCTAGGCCACTCTACCCTGAACTTAGAGTATGTGCCTAGGTATTACATTTTTCACACTCTTTCTCACTGAGCCTTATTTTCCTTCCAGTTATCTGCTCGTCCCCCACCTCCTACTGGATGCTGAAGACAAGAACTCAGCCTTACTCACCACATAATGTGGGCCAGCACCTGGCAGTTCCTACAACAAGGCAAGCTACTGGGTGGGGATAGGTATGGGTCCGAACAAGGTCTGTCTTGAGCTGGAACTTCAGGTTCCATCTGGGGCAACTTCTCAGGGAATGGTCACCTGCACCCCTTACCTGAGCCTCCAGCTGGCACTCGGTAAGGGCCATCATTTCCTCGTAGGTCATCTGGGAGAAAAGCGCAGCGTACTTGTGCAGGCGGAGACTTTTTAACCAGGCTGGAACATCTGCAGGGCAAGATGCGCAAGAGATGGGGAGAGAAATTGAAAGGGAACAAGAAGAGATGATAAAAGATGTGGGAATAGAGAGAGGACAGGAGGGTGATGGTCAGAGGGGAAAAAAGAAGAAAAAAACCCTTTATGTTACTACTTGTTCAATTGCATTTTGGCGACAAATTATGGACTTCGAAGTCTTGGTCTAGCCCTGACATTCCCACTGTCAGGCTCCCTTTTTCTACTTTAGACTAGGGGTTGCTACATTGGGGTCCATGGGCTGCAGGGCATATAGGAATTCCCTAGAACTATATCCCAATTTGTGAATATAGGAATAGTTTTCTGGACAGAGGTCATCCATAGCTTCCATAAGATCCTCAAAATGGTTCATGTCCAAAAACATGACAAAAACCACTACTTTGGCCAGACTATTTATTACTGATTTGGAAAGAGGAGACTTAGAATGTTAAAACTACATAGGATGAGGCTTCCTCTCCAAGATTTCCTTCTAGGTTCAGTGTAGCTCTCCATGTGTTCTGTCACTGCCACAGAAAAGAGCTCACCCAGGCAACCCTGAGAGTCCATGGGTGGAGTTGCCGTCATTCTTAGCCTAATCTTTCTTCTGCCTTTCTCCACCCCAGCGGGAACAAGGGCATCCTAGACTCCAAAACTATCACTCCAGTGTGTGTGTGTGTGTGTGCGTGCGTGTGTGCGTGTGTGCACGCGCACGTGCACGCACACGCGGTGGCCATTTCTCCAGGCCATGGAATGTGTCTGGATGTGTCTCAGACCTTTTCCTTGAATATTAACCACAAATATACCAGGGCTGGAAAGGCCCCCAAATTGGCTAGATCATAGGATAATAGAATCTCCAAAGCATATCTGAAATAAGCCCACATTTTGGATTCTAGAGTTGGGAAAATTAAATAGTAACTGCATCAAAATCAATGAGAATTATCACCTTGCTAAGTTCAACCAAAACAAAGCACTCATCCCTGCTCTTTTAATTCAGAGTTTTTGAGCAAATAGGATCTTTGAGAATTCTCTAGAATCTCCTTCCTCCACCCTTCACTCATTTCACAGATGGCAAAGTTAAGTCATTGTCTAGGTCATGGAGCAAGTATGTGATGAAATGGGGCTAGAACCAGGCCTCCTGCCTCCGGCTTTTTCCTGCCTTGTATCAACTTCTTGTGAGAGGAGGACCAAACAGTCCATCAGTGGTAGGGCTGGGGAAACAATGACATCAAAGTACTTTGAAATGTTAAAGCACTGGGTAAATGTTATTCACGTCTCCTATCAAGTATTATCCATTACTAACCATGTTGATCACAAGATGCTGTCTGTTGTGCCAAGTGCTTTATTCTGAGGCACTGACAAACACCCAGAGTAAGTGGGAAACTTCCAATTTCCAATTTTTAAAGTAGTTAACTGGGATTGATGAAGAAAACTGGCCCACTCTGTAATCAGGCCCAGCCCCCCTGCAGAACCTGACCTAGGCTTATGGAATGTGGGTATTTGATATCTCCCAAAATTCAAAGATTACAAGGGGAGGATAGGCCTGGTAAGGTTATCTCATGATCTGCTGTAATGTGAAGGCTGAAGAAGGGGAACCTGTAGAGAAACAGAACTGGATATCCCCAATGTCTTTTGAAGAACAAACTCAGTCATCTTAGGCAAGAACTCAATTTGATTCTGTGCTTCTAGGCCCTTCCTTCTACCATGACAAGCACAGAGTCCCTCTGGGACCATCAGGAACCACAAAGAGACAAGGCTTCCCCAGGCACATAGTACCAACTACTTAAGTCCTCCTTGACTCAAACTGTGGTTGCATAGATTCCAGGCCCTGCCAGCTCAGGTTCTGGTACTTTCCCTCCTGCGGCATCCTGGACCCATCTTACCAGACTTTATTCTCCACCATGATTTTTTGTTGAAACAATGCTGATCCTTCTGCGGTGAGAGCAGCAAATAACCACAGCTCCAGCTTTGGGGCCAGTGACTTGTCAAAGCTTTGACATCAGGTTTCATGTTGGCTACTCACGTCTTTGAAAAGCCCCAACTTGCTGCTCAGAAAACTCAGTGATCATGATTCAGTAAAGTCTAAGTGACCGCATGGCACACTTGGGCACAATCTGTCACAGAGTACAGAGCATCTCATGGGCCAGACTTTTCACTGGTGCCCTAGTGTTTATCAGGCAAAAGCCACTCATGGTAAAACAGCATCCTGAGCTACTAAATCACATCAAAAGAGTGGGTATTTTATAAGCCAAGAGGGCAATATGGTGTTTTGAGAGTTGGGAACAGTAGGGTGCAAATCCTGACTCAGCAAGACTAGCACTCCAGTCAGTACTAGCTCCTTTCTACAAAAGATTTGGACAACTAGAATTCCTGTCAGAGGGTTGGAAGAGCCCGCCTCACCCATTTAGTGAAAATGTGGGCCAGAGGGAGTTGTCTTCCTACCAACTTCACAACATGGTGAGTTGTGTCTTCCGGAGAATTTATTTGTGTATATCTTCCTGGTAAGCACCCATTGGCCACTGTTCCCTGAGGCAGGCACATGTTGACTCTGCTTGTACAGCAAGTGCTCCATGCTTAAAAAGCTCTCCTTCCTCAAACATGAACAAAGAAGAGGAAATCCCAGTTCTTAAGAACACAGCCTACTAATCTTTCACCCCCTGCTTGGAGACAAGGCAGCTTCTTTTGCCAGGGATTAAAACAAAACTCCATTAAAAGGGGAAAAAACCAGAGAGGTGAACACCTGTACCATTCCACTCCTCCCAAGCCAGGAATTCCAATAATTTGGATGCTAGATTCTGTTAAGATGCTACCCAGAGATGAAGCCTAACTAAAAGTTCAGATCCTTTCCCATAGTCCAGGTGCCACAGGTGATGCAAAGCTGAGAACCATCTCATATAATCTCAGACATTGTTTCTTCATTCTGAAGAGCTATGGCTATGGTTGAACGAAAAGACAAGTAGGTGTGTTTCTTGAAGGCGCTGATACATGATTGGGGGCATGCATGCCTCCTGGGCTCCCCCCTATGGCTGGCACACAGCCATTTAGCCTCCACTGGGCTGCTTCTGTTGGACTTGCCAACGGAGGTCCCAGACTAGAAAGTTACTCTCTTATGCAGTGTGAGAAAGATTAACACACTTTTGCTATATGCTGGGTTGACTTCCTTGCCACATGTGAGCATCCTGATATTTGCCCACTCAACCCTTATTGAGTGTTTTCTATGGGGGGCAGGCATGTCCCTGCCATCAAAGAAATTTTAATCCAGAGAGAATGACTGACTCAAACAATACATTTATAACAGTTGTAGAACAAGTGCTAAGTCAACTCCAAGTTCTAGGTGGGCACAGAACAATGAGCATTTTGATTTCCCTTGGGGAGTGAGGGGTAATTTCACAGTAGGAGCAGCCTGGAAATCACTGGGCCGACCACGGTGAGGAAGCCTCTCTGGAAGCAGGAACAGCATATTAGCAAAGCACAGAGCCAAGAGAGCATTTGGGGCCGAGCAAACACTTGGGTGGGTGGTAGAGAATGCCTAGTACAAGGTGGAGCACACAGGGTCTAATGATTGAGATCTGTAATGCTGAAACAAGGAGGGTAGACCTGGTCTTTGGTGATGAGGAACTGCTGAAATCTGAGCAACAGAGGCACAATCAGATGAGAATATTAGAAAGATGATGGCTGTCCATGCAAAGGCTGGACTGGAGGAAGTCGGAATGGAGGCCGAGAGATGAACTGAAGCCCTGGGATATGGCTTGGAAGGGCAGTGGCAAGGAATAGGATAAAAATGGGTAGTATCTGAAGATCAGGGAAGAATAGGGGAGCCACAGATTTGGGGTGACAAGGGAGAAATGATGAGCTCCACTTCATGTCAGCTGAGTATCACTGCCTTTGAGCCATCTAGGTGAAGAAGTTAACAGGACAAGATCTCTGAAGAGAGGTCTGAACGGGAGAACTTGTCAGCAGCATATGGTGGTGACTTGAAGCCATGGAAGTGGTGAGATCAATCAGGGAAAGAGCATGGAGTGAGAACAGGGGTGAGCCAAGATAGAGCCTTGGGAGCATGAGGTATTTAGGGGAAGGGGTGAGAAGAGAAGCCCAGGAAGAAAACTGGGAGGACAAATCCGAAGGGTAGGTTCTGAGAGAAAGTATCACCATTCATATGCAGATGGTAGGTCCCCAAGCACATTGTCCATCCTTCATGAAGCTCCTTCTAGATCTTGCTGCAGTCCACAGTGGTTTATCTCCACATGGCCATTTTTGGTAATAGCGCTACACTCAGTTTTTATACACTCTATGTTTACCTGCTGGTCTTTACCAATGGGTTCAATTTCCAATTATGTTGGTTTCTATTTCCCTTTTAGAGTTTGGACAAACCAGCCACAGAGAAGCTTTGTGGCATGTACAACAGCTCACACAGAGGCTGGGGTCCAATTAGAACCTGAGTTGCTTTTTTTCAAATGTTTGCTGCCAGAATGGCTGCGTATACCATTCAATGGGCCACGCGTCAACTGCCTCACAAACAAAGAGGCTCCACAAGAATGAAAAATGGAACCAATACTGCAGAAGGGCCTAATATGGGAAGACTTGTAAGGGCAGGGAGTAAGGTGCCACTGGAAGAGAGAAACATGAACAGCCTTGGTTTCCACAATAAGCCTCACCTGTGGTGGTCCTGGTACCTGCAGACAGGAGAGCAACTTCCATTCACCACAGAGAGCCGAGCTACTCTCAGACAACTCTCTCTCTCTCCCCAAGATACAAGTGCATCCTTCGTCTTTGAGGGAGAGAAGAGGAAACCAGATGAGGTTAAGAAGAGACGTACTTTTCAGTGTTGAAGTGAGAGGGCAAAGATTCCTTTCAAAAACAAAGCAGAAGTCCAGGAACGGCATCAATATTATGGAAGCCTGTCTACTTTTGGCCAGAGTGGAAGGAGCAGCCCAACGCTGCTCCAGCCTCTGAGCAAAAGAAAGACACGCCTTGGTCTCTGGTTCTTGGGAGCTGAGAGT